GCTTTGGTTCAGGGGCTCCTTTCTACAACTGGATCCACACTTGCCCCAAACCCCGACCTGTGCCTGGCATCTCCCTCCCCCTTCTGCAGGAAGGCTGGGATAAGAGTCCCGATAACCCAGCAGGAGCAGGGAAAGCACACCATGAGGAAATGCCCTGGGCGCCAGGGATAGGATTGCCCCTCCTTGCTGGCATTCCACGTTGCTCAAATCAGGGGCAAGAAAAGGCAGATCTTAGCCCGCTGGGTTTTTCTCAGTTTCTAATTGGGGGGATTCCATCAGGTTCGCTTCAGTTTTTAAGAAAAAAAGTTTGTACCTAAATATGTAGATGCCCAAGATGCACTTTTTCATTAGGAATTTTTCTTTTCAGTTTTGTCAAGTGTACATACCGTATGCAAACCATTTACCAGATGCAAAACACGATTTTCAGGAACAGAACAAAATCTGGAGAAGCAAGGGTATTCTCTTCCTTATAACTTAACTTTGCTATTGGTTCAAAAAGTGGAACTAGCTATGTCTAAACTTAATTCAGATTAAATTAATTTCTCCCCTAACTCTCGTGAAGAGAGCTATACTTTAATTGTAGTTTCTGTACAGGTTAAGGCACGGAGTCCTAACAGAAAGGTGTGGAAATTAGCACTTGGTTAAACTGTCCAAATGCTGGAGTGTCTGTAGTTCAAGGCCAAGGCTCACCTTTCAGGACTGTGTGAAGGTCTGGGTCTCGCTGCCCAGGGACCTTCTGAAGAATCAGGGTTTTGCAGAAGTCTGAAAAAGGAGGCTGTTGTGTGTCTCTCTCTCTCCCCCTCTTGCTGTGGGGCGCCATCCCAATGCAGGCAGCCTGGATAAGGGGAAAGTGGAAGAAGCTGCTGCGGAGGAAACAGAAACTCTGCAATAGGATCTGGACCAGAACTGACCGGCTGAGACAGGCATTTCCTCAGCATTAATGAGACATGGGTAAGCCCTGGATCCTGTCAGAAGCCCAGAGGGGGCTGGGAGAGCAAGCTTTATTATTATTATTATTATTATTATTATTATTATTATTATTATTATTAATTAAATTTATATCCCGCCCTTCTCCTTACGGACTCAGGGCGGCTAACAATCAGATAAAATACAAAAATACAATACACATTTAAAATTAATTAAAAAGAAATATTTAGATCTGATCCGATTAAAAGTGATTAAAACCCCTTTAAAATCCCTTAGGCCTGACAAGGAATACAATGGAGCTGGAAGGGGCCTGGGAGGTCTTCCAGTCCAACCCTCTGCTCAAGCAGGAGACCCTGTACCATTTCAGACAAATGTCCGTCCAGTCTCTTCTTAAAAACCTCCAGTGATGGAGCACCCACAACTTCTGAAGGTTGTGCCCACGTTCTTCATGGCACAGGTTGTGCCCACCTGCGCCTGCTCTGAGCCAGCAAACATCGTTACGAGTTCCCAGCACAAAGCACATCTGAACAAGTGGAAATTTATCTTCTGCCAAAGAATCAGATCCCTCCAGCTTTCCTGGCAGTGGCCATTCAAACGTCTGCACGGGACGAGGAGAGCCGGGGGACACCCCAGCGAAGGCGAGAGGCAGCCCAAAACGAGGCCAGGGCAGGGCGGGAAGGCAGCCCTGATGCCCATCAGATCCTTTACGATCCCTGGTGTGACTTTGCCCTCTTTGAACCGGTTCCCAGGGGTTGCCCTGTTCCTTCCTCAGGGCTGGACATGGGAGCGAGGAACAAGATGGTGCAAAGCCTTGCACGCACACACACACACACTTGCAGTGGCAGGGCTTCTGCCTTCTCCCTGCAGGAACTGCCGGACTGGGGAACTGCATCCCGTCTGCTCCTGTTCCTCCTCAGGATTTTAGGGGACAGCAGGGAACAGCTTTCTACCTGCCAAACAACCCCAGCCCCCCCCCCCAATCCTTTAGGTGGCTTGGCTCTTCCCCAAATCAAGAGGGTGCCTCTTCCTGGGGAGGGAAGCTGCTTTCTGGAAGAGGGGAACCGTGGGAGCAGGGGGTCTGTGACTCATTGGGGAGGCCGGGGTGACCCCTCTCTCAGACTCCTCCCACAAAAGGCTCCTGTCCAGCTGTGGGACCATTTTTGCCGGCTCTTCTGCGACCTCCCTGCCCCCCAGAGAGCTGGGATTTCTCTGTGGCCTTATTTGGACTCCTCCGGTCAACTTCCCTCTTGTGGGAGGGCCATCCAGTTGCTGCCTGTAGATACTGTCAGAGCAAGGAAAGAATCCGGTGTTTGGGAACAGACCGTTCCACACTCGAGCAGCCCTGCCTGGTGGGGAGGGGCACAAGGGGAGAAGGCGAGGCCCGCCATCTTGGAAGACCCCCCCGGGAGGGAAGCCAGCATCGTCCCCCTTGGGTTCCTCTACGAAAGGAAACGCACACATGAAATAAATCTAAGGCACAAGTAATAGAAAGCAGAGCTCCCACACTTGGGGCACAGGCAGTATAAAATTCACCCTGGCAACCTTGGGTTAGGTCTCCCTGGCTGAGGACGATGGGCTCTGTGATGCTACCCATCTGGAGAGCCCCTTGCTGCAGGAAAGCGGAGCTGCTGCCCTCCAGCCACTCGCTCTCCTTGACTTGGGCCGCTGGCCAAGAGCCAAACGGAAGCACTTCTGGCGCTCAGGCTAGCCGGCGTGTGGGGGGCCGAGCCAGCCCCCTCCTCAGGAAAAGGCAGGCCAGGGGAAGGAAGCCGTGCAAGTGAGGAAGCGGCCAGGGCAGGGGGGCTGGCAGGAGAGGGCCAATTCTCAGGGTCCCGAGTGCAACCTGCATGGAAGGTGATCTCTGCCTTAGCAGGCCGGCCCCGAGGGCCAAAGGCCCCCTGGGAAACCAAGAAGCCCCTTCCCCGGCTCTGAGCAGCCTGGCCACTGCAGAGGGACCTGTGCAGGCAAAGCAGCCTCTTTCCAGCTCTGTCATTCACGCTCATGACTGGACAGCGAAAGAAAGATGCGGGGGGGGGGGGGCTTTGGGCTTTCTTGCTCAAGCACCCCCGAGTTTATTTGGAGGAGGGGTCCGGCCTTCTGCAGAAACAACCTCCTCCTCACAAGGAGCCCGAGCTTGTTCTGCCTGCGGGTGGATCTCTGGGCGGCCTTTGGCCTTGGCGTGGCTTCCCACCCGGTTGGCCACAGGGCAGCTTAGAGTCACTTGGGGGGGGCACATCTGGCTTCTGAAGCCCCCCCCCCAAGCCCCACTGGCATACCTGCAGACGTGGCTCCTACCTTTTCTGGGCCAAAGTTGGGATTCTTTGTGACGCTCCTGGAGTCTGACTCAGCTGGACCAGGACGGGGGCCGGATTCCAGCCATGACTCAGAGACTATTGTGGTGATTTCAGACATGCCACGTGCCACGCCATGCTGTGGAAACTCTTCCCACTTGGAGGGACCGGACTACAATTCCCAATGTTCTCAGCTGGGGTGGCGGGCAGGGCCGGCCCTGACACCATTAGCCCCCCCCAAAAGGCAGGGCCAGAGACCTCCTGCTCAGCTAATGCCCAGCCCCCTTGAGCCCCCCCTTCCTCATCTGCTGTGGGCACGACCCTCTCACAGAATGCAGGGGGGGGGGCAGAATCTTCCTGAAAACACAGCAACACTTCCCCCCCCCCACCAGAAGTTTGCTGTGTCTGTCTGTGAAGCTGCTGTGGCGGCTGCTGCCAACTTCCCAGGAAATTTTTTCGTCCGCTGTGTCTCAACAGGATCAGTTGCTTTCCTGGGAAATCCGTGGTCACGGACAGCCGGGCTGGTAGGGATATAAAAAGTGCTAATTGTTTAAAAAGAAGTCAGAGAGATAATGCAGGACAAAGATAACATCTTTTGTATCAGCATCAGAAAGGAAACTGATTCACCAAAGGCTGAATCACAGCCTGTAAAAAGCTGGATTGGGGAGGTGGGTCCTCAGCTGATTGGGAGGGGGGGTTACAGGGAGTTCAGGCAGTCGGGCACCCCTTAGGCATGGGGGGCTCATTCCCCCCCCACTCAACCCCAACCAAGGAAGGCAATGAGTGTGGGGCGGGGTCCAAAATGTGCAGTTTGGAAGTCCTTGGAAAATAGTTCCAGTTCCAGCTCACCAATTAGACAAGCGACTGGGGGGGGGGGGGGTCAGCCTAGGCCGGAGTTGCTGCCCCAAAGCCTGAGTGGGAGTTTTCCCCTGAGACAAGCCCACCCCCCAGTTCTTCCTCGGGGATCTCTTGGGGCCGGCACAGAAGGTTGCCCCCTCTCCCCCATGCAGACCTTCCGTGGCTTGGGGGGTTTGGTGCACTCGCTGGTGATGCAGAATTTCCCCTCTGGATTCGTTTTAGGAGTTAATCTGAATTAACTGGGGCTGAGATTCTGCTCAACCCACTCCCACACACACACTAGCAAAAATGAAATGAAGGACAGGATCAGTAAGCTAAAATATTTTACATTCCTCTGAAATCCTTTACACAAAACTCTTGACGACATTCCTCCATGTGTTCACCCAAAGCAGCCCTCAGATGTATGCAAAAAATCTGAATTCTGTATTTGTAAATCCCCACCCGTAATAGGCGTGTGCGTACAACTTCAAGTTAAAATTATTTCACAGGGAATACACACAAGCGGAATATTAAAGTTAGTGCTATGAGTACAAGTGGCCAGCTCAGCGTGGAGTTCCAGACTATCCTGCCCTCTAATCGAAGGAAAGAAACCAAGAAAAATGAAATTGCGAAAGGCTGGTAGACCAGACGAGTTCTGCTCAAATAGTGTGTGTGTGTGTGTGTGTGTGTGTGTGTCTGTGCGCACACATATTCATGGGGGAAATCTCTCTTCGGTTCCTTGAGAGGCCATTCCTGGCCAAAGCGGAGAGCAGAGGTTGGGTGAGGGTCCATCCCAGAGGAGCTGGCAACGTGGCTTTGCTGCAGGGGAGCTTCTGCTGGCAGCAAATGGAACAGAACCAACCACCAAGGAAAAAATCCACAGGTCCTTCCAAAACACCCCCAACCCCTTCAAGTGCCCTCCCCCCCCCTGGGGCAGCGTCCCACAGCTGCCTCTCACGGACTTCTCCCTTAAAGAAACGCTGGCTACTGTTTATTGTTTCAGAGAACCCGGTGACCGGCTGCGCTGGGGAGAGCAGCAGGAGGCCTCCCGCAACGGTCCGGCCGCCGCCTGAGCAACGGCTAGGACTGCTGCTCGGGACCTGTGAAGGCCTCCGACTCCGCAGCCAGGGACTGGGCCGTGCCCACAGCAAGGATGCTGTCTGCAGCCACGGGGGGCACCAGGGTCAGCGACTCGATGCTCAGGCTGTCCGTGCTGTCCTTGGAGATCAAGGAGATGGTCGGCTGCGGGGCAGGAATCAGGCTGGGCGACAAGGCGGTGGCCGTCTCCGCTTCGCTCCTGGAGTGGCTCTTGCCAGATTTCAAAACCGGAGGCAACGAGCGATCGGCTGCGGACAGGTAACCGGACGAGGAGGAGGGCAGAGCCTGCTCACGCGCGACCGAGTCGTCTGCGGAAGGAAAGGGGGCCACCCGTCACACTCGGAGGAAATTCTCTTTCCTTGCCCGCCACCCTGGAGGGTCTGCCTGGCACACTTAGGCAATCTAGGCCAATCCTTCCCAAACCTGGATAAATGTTTGCTAACCCAGGGCTGACTTTGTATTTACTGAGAACACTGCTCTGGCTCTCTTCTCCAGTCTTAGAGGCTTCTCCCTTCATTTAAAGCTTCCTTTAATCTTGGGAGTCGTCCTCTTTCCTTCCCAAGAGCCTTTGAACTTTGCCCAACTTACAAAGTGACAGTTAATGGTCCTTTTCCTCCTCCCTGCCTCCAGCTAGGGTGACCTACAAACAGGGAGTCCACAGGCATGGAACAGTCTGACTTCAGCATTAAGGCCTTAATGCACTGTTGCCCACGCATCTGCGCACAAAGGTGTGTGTGTCTCTCTTTTAAATTGCCTCGAGTGTCCATTTCACACAGAAAAACATGATGTATTCGTCAAGGAAAGGAGAGCAGTGCTCTCGGTCAGGTTCTCCTTCTGGAGCCTACCTTTGCCTGGCAGGGAGGGCAGCCACAGACCCCTCCCACTGAGAAGGCAGGCTGTGCAGACAAGCCCCCCACCCAGGGCAGGGGGGGGGGGATTCTGCTCTGGTAAACCAAAAACTTCAAACAGGAGAAGCAAACAGGGGAGGGGAAGAAGCGGGGAGTCAAAGGAAGAGAAGAGAAACCGCCCTTGTCCTGAGAGAAAGAGGAGAGGAGACCCAGAGCGCAGAGGAGGGGACCGGGCAGAAGGCGACTCCTGGGACGCCTGACCCTTTCTAAGAGGCCCCCAGCCCAGGAGGAGGGAGCAGACCCTCCAGGAAGAGGCCTCTGGATGACGAAGGGAGCAGAGCAAGGCTTGGGAGGGACCCAGCAAGCCCAGTTCCCGCCCAAAGTGGTCCTGCCAGGGATGATGCCCGCCCTCAGGAGCTGCGGAAGGCACTCTGAAATCCTTGCTGGGGGGAGGGGGGGGAGCCCAGAAGGCTGAGCTGCTGGGACCTCGAAACAGCCCCTGCCAGGTCAGGCCTTTGCCCATGTCCAGCTGGCAGGGGGAGGGGGGGGCAAGGGCACTGCAATTCCAGGGAAGGCTGCTCTGAGCCTGAGCCCCGTTCGCTCTGCCTCCCAGGTGCTTCCCCTGCCAAGGTGGCCCAAGGCCAGGGGCCATCTCTGCTGCCAGCAAGCCCAGGTCTTTACTTATTAACCAAGGCCATCTCGGATCGATCGGATGATCAATGCTATTGACTTAAAGCCTTCCCCATAAATTAAAACTAGCCCATCCAACTGTCACAACGTATCACCAGGAAAAGACCGGGATCCCAACAGGCCTGGGCCTTCCTGACCACTCCATGGCCGCAGCTGCCCGGCCACAGACTCGGGGGCCAGAACGGGGCGGGGCAGGGCGGGCGCTGGGTAGCTCAATGTTGCTGGGATAAGCACTCGGGAGACCGGCTCATGGCCTCTCGGCTGGAGCAAAGCCAAAGGCCTTCTGGGGGTCTTTCCATCAGGGCCCCGGCCGGGAGGTCGGCAGAATGGTTTGGAGGGACGCCCCCTTTTCAGCCGGGCCAGTCGCCTCTCGGCACCCGAGCACTTTTTTGAACCCAGGAGCAAAAGAGAGTCAAGGCCAGGAGTGGCAAGAGAATACTTTTCTTGCTGGAAAACTGCCCTCATTTGCCTGGATGTGCCCAGAAGAGCTGCTCTTTCACCAGGTCAGGTGAGCCCCCAGCACGGCCACCCAGCTGGAACTAGGGAGCATCCCATCAGCCCTGCACAGAATGCTGGGGGGGGAGGGGGGCACGCGGGAGAATGGAAGTCTCTTCTTGGCAGGCGACCCTCCCCAGGGGCTCCCCCTCTAGAAGGGGCCGGAAAAATGGAGACTTCAGAACTCTGAAGATGGGAGGAAAGTGATCCTGGGTGTAAAGGAAAATGCAAATAAAACCAAGCAGCCAACGTGTTGCAAAATGAAAAGAGGGCCAACACCCAAGTCACCCCTTGCGAACAAAAAGAAGCCCCTCCTGCTAAAAAAACCGGCTTGCTTCCATCAAGCCGCGTTTGAAGTTTTCAGATTCCGCTGAATTTACCTCCAAGCAGCTCCTGAGGTTACGGCAGGAAGAGCGGCCTGTGTTTTCCAGGGCTCCCTGGATCTGATCCACTTGCCGGTTCCACCCGTGGCTTTGTCAGATCCCACCAGATCCCCCCACCCCCCCTCCGGCAGAGACCTTCTCCGCCCAGAAGGGGAAACCTGCCTTTCTCTCAAGGAAGTGTGTGTGTGTGTGTGTGTGTGTAAGAGAAGCCATTTTGGGGCAGGAGGAGGAAGGTGCGCCCGATTAGCACAGAACCCGGGTGCGAGAGACGCGTGCACGAAAACACATCCAAGAGGAGACCTGCCTGAGAGGGCTTGGCCAGGACGGGGGCCACTGCTGCTGGACGGCCTAAACCCAGTGTCCGCCGTGACTCTCAGCCTCTGAGAGACTAAGCACTCTGCGGCGTCCTTTCCTGCCCGGCCTTACTAGAGGGAAGCACAGGGAGATATCATAGGAAGCCTTCAACAACTGGAGCGGGGAGGGGGGATGTCAGGAGGAAGGAAACAGGAAGGAGGACACGTTAGTGTGACAACAACACAAGCACCACCGAGGCAGAGACGTCAACCGCCCAACAGCGACGGTATCCTCGGCCTGCCTTGAGGATGGGGCCCCAAGACAAGGCCGACGTCCCCACTTACAAAGGAAGGAAGCAAGCAAGCAAGCGTGCTCTGATTTCAGAGATTTCGGCAAGAGCCCCCCTCATTTCACTTCCACATAGCAAGCCTGAAATCCTGCACCTGGAACACAAAGCTAAAGGCATGGCTTCATTTATTTAAACCAAAAAGAAGGCATGGGAAGCGGCATGAAAAAGGGGCGGGACAAAGACAGAATTTAGCACGCTAAATGGCCGGGAAAGCTATGGGGGGGGGAGCAGGGCGCAGAGGAAAAGGAGGGAGGGAAGGCACTGATGCCGCCTCCTGTTTCGAGAGGCCCTGAGCGCTTTCCAAGGCTGCCGCATCCTTCACGGGGAGCTCCCACCAGGATCCACTCTGCCTATTTTCAGTATGCAAAGCTTGTCAGAACTCTGGGCAGCTCCTGTGAGTACACAACCCCATCTGGGGGCAGCCCCAGATGGACCTGGGGGTGAAGACCAGGGACTCTCCAGACCCCTCGGGTCTTAAGTAAGGAGACCGTCCACCGGGTGGGGGGCACTTCCAAAGAGGGCTGGCTTGGGGGGAGGGAAAGGCCCTTCCCTGTGGGACGTGGAGGGGCAGCCTGGCCAACTCTGCTCCCACTTAACGCTGCTCACCTTTTAAGCAGGCGCCTTCAGGCCACCCAATCCATGACACAACGGGGCAGTTCTAAGGCCTTGCCTGGGGAAGCTGCTGCCACCACTTGGCCTAGCTGGACTTTGCCCCCCCCCCCCCAGCCTGGGCAGGGCAGGGAGCCGTCCGGGCCTGGTGCCACCTGTCCTCGGGCAGGAAAGGCCAGCGGGGGAGAGCAAGGCAGAGACTCAACCCCCAGTGGAGGAACCTGGGTGGATTCAGCAATCTTTTCCCTCTTTGTTCAATCTTTTTGTAAAGACGGAAGGGACTTTACAGTAACTCTCTCCAATGGCCGCCACCATCCATGGTGAAGAACGGACTTTGATCCAAGCGAAAGCACTAAAATCCCCTTTGAGCTTTGCAGCAAATGATCGCTTCATAAATCTTAAGGGACTTTCCTGGGTGCCCGAAGGAAAGCTTCCTCTTTCAGGTTTCTAGGGGCCCTTAAGAATTCCCTGCAGGGTCCCCAGGGGGTAGCCAGAGGAAATCCTTTGATTGAAAACCAACGAGGAAAAGGACGGGAAAAGCAAGAAGAAGAAGAAGAAAGCAAAGCGGGGAGTCTGCCAGCTTCTTGGGAGCTGCCTCATCATCAGCTCAGTCCTCCGTATTTACTACACATTTCTCACTTCCTTACCTTAGGATACCTAAGAAGGTTCTTCAATCATTAAAGCATTTCTCTCCCATTTTATGAATGGTTTGCTACCCTGAAGGACAAACCACCAGTCCCCTGTTTTGCCCGTGTCCTGCACCCTCATTTTGGCCCCCGGTGGGGTCCACACGCTGAGCTACACTCGAGTAGAAGGGAAAGGCCAGCAATTTGGCCAAAGCAGGGCAGAGGGCAAAGTCCTCCTGTGGAAAGGAGTCTGGTAGCCAGCAAAGCGCCTGTTAGCTGCTGCTGCTGCTGCTGCTGCTGCTGGGCTCCCTCTGCCGGGGGGGGGGGGGGGAGATCACGGACTTTGCTCCATGCGCTGCCAAAAGGAGACTCTTCCTTTCCCGGCAGGGGCTGCGTTTCTCCACCTGGGCAACCTGGTGCCCAGACTTTGAACGGAGGGCACAGATTCTGGGAAAGCTTAGAACAGCATTTCTTTGGGCGGCTCAGAATGACCCCTCCTGCTAACCAAGCACTGGGGGGGGGGGGTCAACCCTGTGAACGGGGTGGGGACCCAAAGCTATGAGGCTTTCAGACACGTAGCCAGTTAATTTGTCCAGAATGCAGAGAAGCTGTTTCTGAGGAAAAATAACTTGGCAGATCGCTTTGCATGTGTTATGTTTTCCAGAACGGTTACTAATAAATGACAGTATTTGTACAATTAAGCAGCTTCATTAAAACTTCAAGTGGAGTTCAAATCAAGTTTATGACCTCGACCCCGCTCAACCCCCAGAGTCGCCTGCGCTAGAAGGCCAGGCGCGGATACCTGAGGGGCTCTGTGCGACGGAGGGTGTGGACGTGGAGCTGGCCACGGCCGAGTCGCAGCACCCGGTGCTCCTGCTGGAGGACGGGGACGGCGAGGAGGAGGAGGAGGAGGGGTGGTGCTGGTCGAGACACTGGGCTACTGCAAAACCTGCAAGAGAGGAAGGCAGGACTTACACAAGCGCCGGTGGCGGAAACACACCAGCCTCTTCACCACCGAAGGAGACACTCTGAGGCCGCCGGGAGGAGAGAAGGGCAGCGCGGGGGGAAACTGAGTCTGGCCGCAACAGGGCAGGTTCAGGAGGGGCCCTGCCGAGCAAGTCAGACATTCCTCTCCTTTGGCTTCTGGGAAGGGGCAACTGCCGCCAGCGAGGACTCCGGCCTACGATGGACGGGGACATCATCCTGTTTGCATCCCGCCCTTCTCCCCAGGCAAGTGCCAAGAATTGCTGCCCTCCCCACTCAGGCAACAAAAAGCCCCCGATGCAGGTTGAGGGTCCTCCGTGGCTGCCAGGAACAGGACTGTTGCAGGCCTCCCACGAGGTCACGGAATGAACTTTCTGTAGTTTCTCCAGAAGACTCTCCCTGGAATAATTCTCCAGCCCTTTGAGTCTGCTTCTGGAGGAGGCTCTCCGAGCTGCAAGGGAGCCTCCAAGGGAGCCTCATCCATGTTTCCCTGCAAGCTGCTCAGCAAACGAGGCGGAAGACAGCACGGGAACGTTCCTTCCACCACTCATCTGGCCATTCAGCCCCCCCAGGCAGAGGAGAGTTTTCCCACGGGGGGGGGCGAAGAAGAGCAGCTCTCTCCTCCCGCGTTGGGCATCCAGCTGCAAGGTGGGCCACTTCAAGGGGCCAGGATTGAGCCAGGTGGCCGAGGCCTTGCTCGTGCCCACGTCCATCCGCTTGGCAATCCCAGGGGACCTGATGGGCCAATCGCTCACTGCACCAGGGAATGATGGGCAAAAGTCTGCTTGTTTCCCTGGCTTGGCAACGTTTTAAAACACAAACAAGGTAGACAAAACCAAAGAGAGGCTGAGCCCAGAGGAGCAGCTCATAAGGAACTGGGGCTGGGCGCTTGGGAGACGGACACAAATCCTCCTAACTCCCGTGCTGAGGAGCCTTCCCTTCCGCACCTCTCTGGGGGCAATTCCTGGGAAGGGGGAGGCCTCTCCTTCTGCCCTGCTGAGCAAAAGGCAAGTGAGCTCAAGGGCTGGGGAACATGACTGGGCAACGAAGCTGCACCTGGGAGGTCAACTCCCTAATTCCAGCCCAACATCGCTAATCAAAGTGGAAGATCCGAACGACACACACTCCAGCACCCCAAAGGCCGCTGCCCTGGGAAGACAGCGCTTTGCTCGGTTCCTGCCTCCATATGGGGAGCACACACAGGTCCCATTGCCCGCTGTCCACCCCACTGTCCCTGGCAACGGCAAACTGCCTCCAACGACCATTCTGGGGAAGTGCCACCAAATCAAAACAAACAAAAATCCCCACCAGATGTTGGACTCGGCTTCCTGAGAAGTTCAACTGGCATTTAAAAATAGTTCCTAGCTCTTGTGATTCTAAACCCACTTCTAAAAATATGAGGACAAGGCTATAACAACCTAATCTGTTGCAGAAAGGCTGAGGAGTGCCGAGGGCAGAACCGGCCAGGGGCTCGCCCGGCCACCCTTTGGTTCCTCTGCTGGAAGCTTACAGGCCTCTCGCTCTCCTCCCTGGTCGGACATTTCCTCAAGGCCTCTTGAGAGCAGGTGCACGTGCTGGCTCTGGGATTCTGGGAGTTGAAGTCCACGCGTCTTAAAAGTGGTTAGGCTGGTAAACATGGCTCCAAGCTCAAAAACTGCCTACACCCAATGTTCTCTCCTGGGGCCTCTGCCGAGCCCCCTGCCCCTCTCTTTAATTCTCACACATCAAATTCGTCTCCAACAGTGCGGCATGTTCATTTACATTAACAGCTAACACGGGGGAGAGGAGAGGGGTGTCTCTTTAAGATTGTTCTCCAAAGGAACTGCTGCTAACTATGGCGGCCAGGGACTCCAGCATAAATTGTGATGCATAAATTGACTGGCAGATTTTTCTGAAAAGGGGGGGGGGGAGGAGGAAGAGACTGTGATATTCCTCGATTGCCCAAGGCTGTTCTGCTACAAGGAACCTTTATAGAACTTCTTTGTAAGGGGAAGGCTGGGACAGAGTGGGGGAGCTCCACTCTTAGCACAGTGTTTAATCTGTATGGGTGACTCACATCCAACTTCCTCCAGCTTTCCTCTTTATAGTGACTCCGAGGGAAGCTCTGCCTCCCTCCGCTAGTTTGGAAGTGCTGATGGCCACGACTCCCAGCACACTTCCCTCTCCCATTTTCAAGAGCTTCCTGGGAACGGGACTTCCGGGAGCCCTCCTTCCAAGCAGCCACCACAGAGGAGAAAAGCCGCAGCCTCCAAATTGTGGCTGTCCTGCTTTGCCTTCACTCGACCGGACCACACTCGCAAAGGACACAGATTTGACATCACCAGAGCTCTACTGACATCCGCCCTATAACTTGAGGGGATGCCCTGGAAGAGCTCGTCATCAATGCCACCCAAATGATGGCAGCTTTGTTTACTGTTCTCCATGGTGACTCTGCCCACAGGGTGCAAACTCCAACTACTGTGTGCCAGACGGGCACTGACAGCCTCCAACTAGCATCTCTGTGGCCTTTGTGTGGAGGTGCCAGGGGTCTTGCCCTGGAGGCTCAGCAAAGGTGCAGGGGTTTGTTTCTCAAAGGTGCATCCTGCCTGGCTCCCAACTATTTCCCTTTGCCCAAATGCTGGATGAAACTAGGCTGAGCTCCTTGAAATCTTTGCGTCACGGGAGTTCATTCCATGTTAAATGCACCACAAATTATGGTACCTGGCAGGAACTGAGAAAGGGCAAGGCAGCAGGCTGCTTGGCAAGGCCCAGCCTCCCCTTGGCCCCAGACCTCCAGCTGAATCCCCAGTGATCCAAATGCACGGCAGAATTTTGAGAATGTGTTCATTGAGCCCAATCTTTAGCTTGCCACCTTCAACTGAAGAGGTAATAAATCTATGAAAAAGATTTTTAACAAAATCAGCAACAGGAAATGGCACCCAGGCCTGCCAGAAAATACAATACTTTTGAAAACCACAACTTCACAGAAGTCGATAAACCTGTTATTTAGGTAGACCTTGGGAACACTTCATGGTCTAAAAATCAGTTGTTCATGGCACCAGCAGAATGAAGGGCGGCGGGAGGGGTGTGTGTGATGGTTCAACATTTGCAAAAGAAAGTCTTCTGCCCCACCCCCACCCCCCACCTCAAGAAAATCACTGTGTCAGAAGACCAATTTCTAGGAACAGAAATTTCAGTCAAGAGCTAGAAGTCAATAAAATCTCAAGGGTAGAAAGTTCAGAACGAGTGCATTCTCCAAAAATGTTAAGTAACACGGGGAAATGGTTGGTATTTATCATTACAAGTAGACAGTGAGAAGACAAACATAGTTACATCTGGATCATCAGATCATGAAAAGTCAGGTTACAAAATTGTTTTCTTAGGACAAAACATTTCAGACCCATCACTTCTCATCTCCTCAAGGTAATTTAAAGCCAAAGAACTTCAGAGAGGCTGACGGTCTAGTACATTTACTGAAAATAGTGGCTGTCTTCAGGAAGTGTGGAAGAAACCCAACACTGTGATATTTGACTTCAGAAATAAAGAATGTTTTATTTTTTAAAAAATAAGGGTGGCCGAAAGGAAATTGACAGGGAGGGGACCAGGTCCCTCCAAAATGCATTGTCTGAAAATGGGCCATGAGCCGTGTTTATAATCAATCCTCTGAATCAAGTGATCACTCTCCTGCTTCAGTAATCTGGTTGCTGAACTTGAAATAGAAAATCTCCCCCCCCCCAATTCAACACAAGAGAGTCTTCAGAAAATCAGTGGCTGCATGGAAAGTCTTAAGAGACTCAACCCCCAAACCCACCTGCTCTACACAAATTGTGATGATTCAATTTCCAAGCAACAAAGATAACATGATACCCTGAGTTCTACTGTGAAACGGGCTACAACAGCTAAAGCACCCTGCCCTCTGGGGAAAACAACAGAAACGCCCGGTTCAACTCCCATGCGTGCGAGGGCTTTGTGCCTTCCAAACATGGTTGCACATCCCTAAACTTTCCCCAGTCTTCCCCACCGCCCTGGTGACGGTCTGTTACACGGGTTTCCAAGGAAAACTGAGCAAGGGCTTGCCTCTGATGCAGGATGACCCAATGTTGTACTACTGGTTTGTGACTCTTTCACAGGGTTTATGGGAAACGAGCCTTGAGGCACCCTGACTGTCACCCAGCTACTATAATTGAAAATAACCAGCAGCACCGTAAAACAGAGTGTTGTGAAATCCCCTGCCTTGCAATGCAAATTCAGAAACAGGACTCCGGCTTATCTCAGAGCTATCTGGCACCTTCTTCAGAAACGCTCATTTGGCTATCAGGAGGCCAGTTAGCACAGAGCCACTTCTCACCAACCTATCAGAAGGATTATCTCATTTACAACTTCTATGGAACCACACATCATTCTGCTGCGGGTGCAAAGAGGCCGTTCCTGTTTGTAAAAGGGGAAAACAAGCTAATCACAGCAAACTGTTTACCTAAAAAAGGCATCTTTCTTTTTTTCTCCTGAACTGCTCGGTTGCATTGCTGTAAACTTGGCTACCGTAATGTGGTGTCAGGCTTCCAGCTAAAAAGATTTCAAAAGCAGAACTAGGAAAGGAAAAAAAAAACCCTTGTGAAGGGGTCAAAGGGCACGATCCTGGGCTAAGGGATTAACACCAAGGCCCCCAAAGACCTCAGGGCTTCACGTTCTGCCTTGGCAGCCTGCCAATCCTGCTCTAGGCCAGCTGGACGGACGGAGCCCCGGGTCCACAACCTCCTCAGCCCTCCGTCTGCACTGGCACGGCTGGGCCGCCCAAATCAAATTTCGGCTCCCCCCCTCCCCCCCTTCCCATCACTGAAGGCCCGGCCGGTACAGATTCTCAGCTGTTTTAGTGTTCCAAGCTTCCATGCATCATTTCCCCCAGTCCACGTAAGCCTGATTATTTCTCTTCCTATTCGGCAGCCTCCATCCACAACAACGGCTGGCTTCTCTGGCCTATCGCTTCCTCAAGCAAAGGAACTGGAAGCGGCGGTGGCAGCGGTGAGGAGCAGGGTCCCTTCTGGGGGGTCTCTTCCTCTGTGCCCCTGCTTGCAAAAGAGAGTGGCTCTCATGTAATGAATCTGCCCCGGATGACGTAAGTCACGTCCCTTGTGCAACGATCGGCACTCTTGCCCACAAGCAAGCGGCAGCTGTGTTCGTCTCGGCCTCCAAATCTAGACGGGGCTGAGGCCTTCTGGAACTGCTGCCCCGCTGCAGCTGGAGGCTGCCTGCTGGAAAGGCCACCCCAACTATTTCCCAAGCGCCGAAGAGAAGGCAACCTACGGGCTCTGCCTGCATCACTTCCAGCCCTTCCCTCCTGGGTCATTTTCTAGGTTGGGTCTCCCAGCCGGAGTGCACGGCTGAAGGCTTTGTTAGGCTTGTCCAGGCAATATCAAAAGAAATGGATTCAACAGACTCTGGAACTATCAAGGTTTTGCTTTGATCTATCAATTTGGGGCATTTCATTTTTTAAAATATCATTTTCTAACATTATAGGATCTTTTTTCACAAACACACAGTGTAAGAAGGAGAATCACACCTACGTTATAAGAATGAATACATAAAAAATTAATTTTAAAATATTCAGTATTCAAATAAGTAGTAAGTATTCTTGTCGTAGTAGTAAGTATTCAAATAAGTAGTAAGTATTCTTAGGCAGTAAGCATAGGTAACAAGAAATTTGATTTAAATCAATGACTTAAACAGCATAGTTTCCTAGCTTTATTATATTGAAGATTTTAAATAACTTCAATCTGTTTTAATCAACAAAAACAGAGTTTTTAAGAGATTACTTATATGAGACTCATAGACCAGAGACATAACAAACACAATATGCAACACAGCCAACTGCAAATAAAAGCACCGGGTTTAAATGCTGCATATAAATAAAGCAGAACCAGAAATGATGGAAAGAAAGGATACTAAATAATCTAAACGCAACAGCTACCACCACTGGGCACTTTTGGTGGAGCCTGTTCTCACACATGTTTAACTCTCTCACATCTAGGCTCCATCATAAGCAGACTCAGGTAAATATTTCTTTAGAGAAACAACAAGGCAACATTAGCACATACCTGGAACATTTAAAAAAAAATCTGCTGGAGAGATGCCAGGTTGCTATAAGCCAGGAATGTCAAACTCGCGCTGTAAATGACGTCGCAACTTTCCCCCCATTGCTAGCAACAGGGTGGGCGCGGTTTCAGTATGATGCATCCGGCCCGTGGGCCGGCAGTTTGACATGCCTGCTACAAGCCCTCAAAAGTCCTCCCCACCCCGCCATTCCACCCCCAGGTCTCAACTGGACAGTTTCTGAAACTGAGTTTCTTTTGGTTTGTACGTAAACAGCATTATCAAGTTTTAATAACTTTTTTTAAAATGATAACTTTTTTATTTTTACATCTTTAACTCATTTCATTTATTATGTTTTTGGATTCTGAATTTTCTTACATGCCACCAGGGTAGCATTCTTGCTACAGAGTGGCAAAAATGAGATTTTTTAAATGAAGATGCTTCTAAAAATAATATTATCGCAGAAAGAGAAACTAAAGAAGACTGGGTCACGCCTTCCTCTGCCACAATACCGTAACCTCATCGTGACATCTTACCTAAGATGCACCTGGGGGAGGAGGCAGAGGAGGAGGGAGCTTACCTGGGACTTTATCAACCGAGGCAAACACCGAGCGCTGCACAGTTGGGTCGCAGCTGCTGCGTCGGGCTTGCTCATAAAACCGGAATGGCAGGTGTTGGGTGGCAGCAGAGCTGTGTCCAAAGCCCATCACTTCATTGGCTGGCTGGATGGGCAGGTCCAGAAGTGCTGGGTTCAAGGAGACACACGTTACGTTTCGGCTAAGAAACTAAGAAAGCCAAGACTGCCCTAGCATACAGTGAGGCCGGGTACCTTGCCTGGCAGGCCTTAAGTTCTCCCCCCTTTGCAGATAAACGCTCCTTCCTGGCTGGTTTACATGATATGTGAGCTGTGATTCCTCAACTGCTCTCTCAAGACTAGCCAGGAAGAGGAAACTGAGAACGAAGAATGGCTTCTGACTTGCTTGGGAAAAAACAGGCCAGCCTGCCCCATTTGCGACAGGTGAAGGAGCCCAGTGGGACCCCGAGAGAAACAAGAGGACCAGGCTGGTACCTGCGATTCTTTGCATTTTCATCCGCCGAGCCTGGATCCTCCCCTTGGCCAGGCGCTGCCTTGCAATGACGCAACGGATGTGATCCGAAAAAATGAAGGTCGCCTGTAGGATGGGGAAAGGTTTCGAATGTGGACTGGAAGCCGGCTTGTGTATGATGATATTCAGGGCCCGGCTGTCGTCTTCCACTCCTGTCACCTGCATGTCCTGGAAGGGGCAAGGAAGGAAACACACGGGGTCAGCAAAGACCAGAGCTTACAGCTGAGGTCTGGCACAGATACCAGAGCTATATTTGAGGAGCAACTGAGATGATTAAAGGCCTGGAGACTAAAACATATGAAGAACGGTTGCAGGATTTCGGATTGGCTAGTCTAGAGAAAAGAAGGACTAGGGGGGACATGACAGCAGCGTTTCAGTAACTGAGGTGCTGCTACAAAGAAGAGGGGGGGGGGATCAAGCTATTCTCCAAAGCACCTGCAGGCAGGATAAGAAACAACGGATGGAAACTAATCAAGGAGAGAAGCAACCTGGAATTAAGGAGAAACTTCTTGACAGTGAGAACAATTAACCAGTGGAACAGCTTGCCTTCAGAAGTTGTGGGTGCTTCATCACTGGAGGTTTTTAAGAAAAGACTGGACAGCCATTTATCCGAAATGGTGTAGGGTCTCCTACTTGAGCAAGGGGTTGGACTAGAAGACCTCCAAAGTCCCTTCTAGCTCTATTCTGATTGATTTGCAAAAGACAACGAGGCAGAGTTACTCTTTCTTACTGCAGCCAAACCAGCCCCCTTGCTCCCTCTTCTCTGTTCCTAGGTTAAGCAAGGGGACGTCAGCACTGGAGAGGCAGATCACTAGTCCAGGCTCAGAGGCATCACAATGACTGTATTCACACAACAGATTAGCCTAGCTTCAGAAGTCACCCACTTCTGTTTGCACAACGGTTTGCTAACTGAAGGGGCTGAATCTGCATAACACACTCAGCAACCAAGAAGAATACAAATTGAGCTCCAGGGATTCTGCTAAGGCAGCTGCTAGATCTTTTGCTGAGCTGACTCCCTGTGTTGTGTGGAGCCAGTCAATTACGGCACGATGAATCCCAGATACAGTGCTGCTGATTCTTGTTGCTTTAAAGTCAATAAACTGGAAGCCACAATGAATACTGGCAAGTCTCCTCTTGCAGGAAACTGTACACACCGGCAGCTGCTCAGGTGCGCTGAACCAGAAAAAGGTAAGCCACCTGGCTTAGAGAGGAACATGCTGAAATAGAAATTGGCCATGTGGCCACAAATCCCTGCTCTGAAAATATCCCAGGTCAATTGTCACTCTCATCATTTTTTCACGCTGAAAAACTCAGGAGTCTCAGCACCTTCACCTTTGGAAAGTCCCTAAGAGTTTGGTGGCTTTTCTGGGCAGGAGACTCGTCCCGCTCCACTTGGGGGGGGGGAGTTGCTCACCATCGGTGGCCAAAGAAGGCTTTGCTGTCAAGTTGCTGCACACTCTGCTTGCCAGGACACGCGGACACCTGTGCTGTCATTTAGGCAGCTCAAAATCTGAACCATCCATTAAGTTTTATGCTCACCTGGAGAAGGCCAGCAAATTTAACGACTCCCCAGCCTAATCGCCCAACATCTGGCTCCACCAAACTCATCTGGTAAATATCCACCGCCAGAAACCTCTGGACCTGACCGCTGTCCTTGGTGATCACGGTGCAGGCAATCAAATCACTGTTGTCTGGAGGAGGAAGAGCAGCAAGAAGAGCCATCACCAGGTGATCCAGTAGTTTTTCCTGAAGGAGAACTCTGGAACTGCATTCATCCCAACTAGCTTTACTGGCCTTTTCACCCCTTTATTTGGTGTACTTTATCCTCCTACATTCCCTGCTGTCGGAATAACCCTTTTTGTCTGAAGGCCCCAAGAGACTCACAAACGACAACCTAAGGAAAAGGCTGCCCTGGAAGGAGATTCTTGCGTAATTAAGACTTCTCCGAGTTGCCCACCGACTCCTACTTTGCTCAGCTTGGAATATCCTTTCTCCCCTCAAAAATGGGCTTGTCCTTCCCCTGTACAGAAGAGAAACTAGGCTACATGCCCACCGTGAGGCCCCTTCTGAAAGCTTCTGCCCTAAAAGTAAGTTGGGTGCACAAGCATTTCAGCTTCTCTCTTTTAAAGTTCATGGTTATCATCTAGAGCAAAGTGCGAGGATAAACGCTTTGCAGGTGCTGAGGGAGAGCTTGGGGTTGCGATCAGCGGTTCAGATGGTGCCGGAATCACCACTGCAGCTTCTGCCTACAGAAACATGTTGGAGCGTGATTTGAACAGCCTGGCTGGCCCACTAAATGCCAGAGGCCGGTCCCTCACTCCACACAGACAGAATGTATAAACCAACAGCCAGCCTCGTTGAGGCCGAAGACAGCTGATCTCCACAGAACATAATTTGGGTTCCAGGAAAAATAACCAAACTGGTATTTAATCTTTGCAATAGCTGCGATTGGAGAGTTGGGAACGACATGCTTAGTCAAGAGAGACTGGGAAACTGAATTGCAAAATGCGCTTTAATGCTCCAGAGCGCAACTGTGATCGTTCTATGAAACAGAGTCAGGGTTACAGGAATAGACATTAAAACCACATCAATGAGCATTACTGAAAATTAAAAAAAGAGGGGGAGGGCAAAGCAGGTACTAATAAAAAAATCAATATGCAAGAAACAACAATATTGCATTTTGAAAGCCAACAGGAATATTGTAATTTGATTTGTTTCAAGCACATCCATATAAAACAGTTGACAGATAAATTATAATTATATCCATTTAGTTTGCAAGCTTATTTAAATTCTGCTCCAGGAAGCCTTCTTCCGAGAGGACCGAGTCTGGAGAAATTCGCAAGCACAACTCCTAGGAAGGCAAGGAGGGACCCCTTCTCATTTCCTAGCACATGGGCAGAGAAGCATCTGGCCTGAAACCCCCCACCCCACCCTCGGGCCTTCCCCTTCCCAGGGGCTCCCATTCCTCTTATTTCCATCGTGTTTCCCAACACCTTTTGCAGTGGGATGGCTGAGCAGGGTGACTGGAACGAAAAGTTCCCCTGGCGGATGCATCCCAGCCAACCACATCCGAACTTCCCCTCGCCTCTCTCAGCCACTGCCCGTCCAGGAGTTGTTTCCCCTGAATCTCTGTCACTGACCCAGAGTCCAAATGGCAACGGGAAAGGCCTGTTCTCCGAACTTTGGGCGAGAAAGGACTCAGCGGCAATGGAAGAGCTCCTGCTGCGGGAGGAGGGCCACCAAACGGCTGCCTGAAATCACCTGGGCTTTCTCGCTTGCTTAGGGCCACAAAGCCAAGACAAACAATCCAGTGTTCAACTTCCTAAAATACCCATTACAGTAAAATGAATTCTTTTATAATTACTACCGTAAATATGGCTGACATTTTTCTATTAATAGAAGCTGTGTATTCCCAAATGGAAACAAGGGCACCGTGTTTCCTAGCATACCCAATTTATTGTTATGATAAAGACTTATTACCAGACCATAATGGGGCTATTTTGGGACTTCCAGTTAGTGATGGTTACTGTGACAAGTGATTTCCCCTCTCCCAGACAAAAGGGAAGGGGGGAATTAGGAGACACACACAGAGCCACAAAATGCCACTTGCGAGGGACAAAATGGCTCCTCCTTCAGCTCAGCTGGTCTTCCAGATATTGCATGCATATGATCTGCAACAATGGTTACCGTATAGAGCAGCTATTGATAGCCCAATTTTTCCCCCTCCCGACCAGCTATCTGAGCTACTAAGACCCCAATGTGCACAGAGAGAAGATCATCAAGCAAGCAAGCAGGGGGATGTGTGTAGCATTCTGGAAATGCCTGAAAGCAGGGGGGAACCAAAACATTGAGGGAGAACCTGTTGACCGCTGGGCTTCAATTCTTATTTTCCCTGGGAATTTGAGCGCCTGGCTGGCTTCTTTCCTTGGTGGCTACTCACTCAGATCCAGGACGTCATCTGTCTTAATTAAGTCTTCCTCCCTTGTCAGAGGCAACTGAGTCTCTGGCTCATCCTGAAGGTGCAGTGACAGAGAACGCAGCATGAAGAACACTCGGATGGCCTGAAGACACAAAGAGCAAAGAGGCTCAACCAGGAGGATGTGCAATGAAAAGAAAAGATAAAAGTGTCTTAAACAGCTGCACTGAATACTCTGTGTAAAAAGAGAAAAGGCCACACTTTTCATTGCCAGCAAACTCATTTTCTCTTTGACTTTTAAAAACTGTTTTGAGTAGCCTGCAATACATGTATACAGCCGTAGTTCAGGATATGGCAGGATGGGCAAAGTTAGGAACAGCCAGACATCCAGCCCATAATTAGTTGGTCCAAGGACTGCAGGTTTCTTCAGTCCTTTCCCTGGGGATGGAGGGAAAACCAACCTGCAGGGCTTTACACCAGTTATCCCCCAGCCCGCAGGCGAAGGCGGCTTTAGGCTTCACCATCTCTTGCCAGTATGCCAAGAGTACTGAATTCACAGGCTAGGTTGGCTGGGAACTATGTGAGTTGTGGTCCAACATGTCAGATGATTGATAGGGAGGGGGAAGGCACTTTACACTGCATTTGCTGTGCCAGTTTTCTTAGAATACAAAAATACAGAAACCCAGGAAAAAAAACCCCTGAAAATGGCTGCCACTGCTTTCCACTTTATAGTATGATCTAACAGATGCCAAAGAATGGGGGGGGAAAGGATTAACTGTTGGTCTGTTTGGCAAATCATTAACTCCCAAAGCCATTGTGATTTGCTGCTAGATACAAATAACTGGTCCTTATCAGCAAAGTAATCACAGAAATGAGTCTTGAAACACCGGCTTTTGAAAAAAATATATATGAAAATGAAATTTCTTTTTCTGAGCCCAGTTTGGGCTACTGGGAGGAGGAGAAAGATTCCATAAGGACGGTGGAAAGTGCAAGGCTGGTTTAGGCTACCTAATGTTGCCCTTGAATGTTCCAGAGGAAGTCTCGCCCAGGCACAGCTACCGGCAGGAGTTGTAGCGGGGTCTCTCTGTATGCACGTGCACACATCTGGAAACATCTGTACAGATGTGAAAGGGAGATCAAGATCCCATGATGGGATCTTAAAATGGTGGGTCAGTGGAGGAACTTTCCTTAAGGAAGTCACTGAGGTCTTCCCTGGTGAACACCATGAGTGGGTCCCAAATCAAACTGGGAGCCAGTGCAACAGTTCAGAACTGCTGGTCTGGCAACTTCTTTTTCAACCCACTCTCATCTCTGAGGTCTTTTCAAAGGCAGCCCCAACATGCAGGAAACAGCAACAACCAAGCCAAAACGATTAGCCTTCACTGGACTAGGCTGGGCACTTTACGGTTTAATAAACTGGTTGATACAATACATTAAACCTCTCATTTGATTGCAGGAGAATTTATTTCTCTGGCAAAGGATGTAACATGGCCACAGCAATGACAACTTATTTATTCAAGGATTTAGTGGGTTTTGTGAATTCAGACTGAAAATGTCACTTGGGTCATTTTTAGGTATGCTGGCAAAAATTAAGAAGTTACTCAAGGCTCAACCAGGAGTCTGCAAAGGGATGTGGTTTGTGGCTTCCTACAGAAAGCGATAATTTTTAATGTACTTTATTTACATGCATTAGAACACAACCTTTGTTTGTAAGGACAAAATCTGCGTACAAAGACTACCACAACCTTGTATTTCTGGAGAAAAGATCTAAAATCTCTATTTCCAGACAGCAGAAACTCTTGCTTCAACTATTGCCAAAAATAAGAACATTAACCTTTTTTGAATTGTTCAAGACAAAATGATCTAAGATTCATTACAAATAGTTTTACAGTATGGCTTTTCTTTATGACCCCAGCTATTCAGAATCCCCTTAAGAAGGAGTTTTATTCTAGGAAAAGGCTCCTTTGCTTTCCCAGAAGCCTGTTATAGAGAAAAATAAGATAAAGAGATAATGTAGCGATAAAAGCTGTATAAACAGAACTATTCAGAGCCCTCCCTGGTAGCTGGGATTTCCAAGAAAGCTCTTCAGGCCCCAAAGATCTCTTCACTCTTCTCTAGCTGCCCCCCCTCCCCCCCCGCACAGCCCACTTGACGTAGTTGAGAGCAGAGAGCTCTCAGTGTTTAAACCAGCCCAGCAACCAGAAGAGGCATCTGCACGCAGGACGGCACTTTCTGAGCAGAGGGAAAGACACCGCCTGGCAGGAATTCTCCCAGTACCAGCCATTCAGTTCCTCATCAGCAGCTTTACAGGAAGGAGAGAGTCTGTGAACCCCAGAGCATCTCTGAACGGGCACTGGGAGGGCCATTCGTCTTCAAAGCTGATTACAGAGTCTGTGACGCAAATCTTTCTCAGAAGCTCCTTTCCGTGCAACAGGGCTCGACACGCTTCAACACTTTTGTCATGCTCCACATGCACACAGGTGGCTGCACACTTCCCTAGACTGCATCGCATGTGAGGAGTGAATATGATGACCCCCCCCGGACTCTGAATGCTTCTACCTCTCTAGCCTTGTGGCATCACTTCACTACTTTCTCTTTTCCAATCATCCTTTGCAAAAGCTCATGGAGAAAAAGGGAAAGAAGAGTCCAAGATTTCTAGGAAGGAAGGAAGGGAGGAAGGAAGGAAGGAAGGAAGGAAGGAAGGGAGGGAGGGAGGGAGGGAGGGAGGGGGAAGGGAAGAAGCCAGCGACAGAGTAGCTGGTACAATCACTGCAAGTCCCCGCAGTGGCAGAATCAGGTCAATCTCATGGGATGAGCTGGGTGGCCAGAGTGGCCAGCTAAGAGTGAGCCAGGCAAGCCTCCACCACACTGTCCAGCTGCTCCGGGGAGAGCAGGGGACCACTGTGCCCCTTGAGCACTTAGGACCGAAGGGCAAAGGCCCACGGGAGGCGCACTCACCCTCCTGGTTCTTTCCACGTCGCCACAGGGGAGCCTCTTCACAAAGTCGATCCCCGTGAGGGGAGTTCCGGTGGGTGGCAGCAGAATGGAAGCATCCATCATCAAGTACTCCACATTCATGGGCTTCAGCTGGAAGAGGAAATGCTACATTCAACTACAAACCCCATCCATCTTTCCTCCTCCTCCCCCTCCACGGAGGAGAACATAGCAGGGCTAAGGCAAACCTTTCCACAGAAGGCCAACATCCACCCATGAGGAGAGACACAGCCCCTCAGGGCTTGATGCGTTCCCCCCCCAAAAGAGAACTCCTGGGGTTGAGCAGGGGTCTTTAATATTTCCTTCCTTTCCTTAAAACGTGACTGATAAAAGGCTAATAACAACAACAGCGCTTTTAAAGAAAAACATGGTTTAAATGGTTTGCAACAATGTTCCACTTTGTCACTTTTATATCTCTCTGGTAATGTACTCATTACTTACGGTCATAGTTCTATATTCATCTTCAAACATATCCAGAAAAATTTCTTCTCCCTTTAAAGAAAATAAAGAATTCATTCTTAGAATGGTAAAGTTTCTCCTTTAACGATGGGCTTAAATCAACCTTCCTTTCCCTTATCCCACATTCTTGAAGGTCTATTTTTGCCTCACACAGGAACGAGTACAACTCCAACACCAATTTACTTCTATTTAAAGAAATCTCTACTTGGAGGAAATGTCACACCCCTCTGATTTGCCATGCCTTTAACTGAGGGCACCTGCTCAGTTACGCAGCTGCTTTGGAAGCGTTTCTCTCCTGTTGCTGGCCCTTCGTGTCCAGTGAGGGAAGGACCAATTCAGCAGCTTCCTAAGAACCCCTCGCCAGCTGAAGCAGCGGTTTTTTCCTGATGCAGATTCTCTACCAACAGCATCTAAAGCACTGGACTGAATCGGCCTTGGACATGCTGGGACACCTGACAGCAGGGCAACTTTCCCAGCAACGGTTTGAACCTTTAAAAGGACGATCCAGCAGCCCATGTCAGACATAGCCCAGTCAGGGGGCTGTTCCTCAACAATAATTCAGAGGATGATTCCATATAGCTGATCTACCAGTTTGGAAACTGTTTTGCTCCATGCAAACTTTGCGAGGAGTCATCTAATGCAGGAATACCCAAAACCTGAAGTGGCTCAGAGGCCACAACTGAACAGAACCAGGCAGGCCTTTATTTAAAAGTTCTACCGAGCAGGAGAGAAACGGCCAAACGCCTGGCAAACAACTGTGAAAACTTGAACAGCCACGCCCAGCCCAGCTCTCTCGGATGGTTCCAGCATTTGGTTTGGGAGAGTTACCAAAGGCCGGGAGGTTACCTTGTAAAAACGCCGCACCAGGTGAACGCTTTCTTCTCTTGCCCCCTTAAACAGAAATGAAAAACCCTCCGTTCAGGACACGGAATGTGGAGGAGTGGGCTGCAGGATCACAGAAGTAACATACCACCTCCCTGCACGATCCCCCCTCCCCAACATGGACTATTTGCAGTAGAGTTCTCTCCCTAAAATGATTCAGAAGGGGAAACATGGATCATGGCGCTCCTGAATAAGGACGACCTGGGCTGGGAAGAAAGGGGCTGGCATGGGCCACCCGGGTGGAAACCGAAGAATCCCAGCCTATTCAGAGTGAATTGCTATTTGCCAGGAGCACAGGATCCCTCTTCCCAAGAGCCCAGGCGGGGTGGCTCAGACTCAGCTGCTGAGGGAGAGAAGAGCTTCAGTCGAGGGGGGGGGATTTCCCGGGTTTCACGCAGTGGGGGGGGGACTCGTGCGCCTCAGAGTCCCACCCTCAACTGCAGTGGCTGAAAAAGGCAGGGACCGACTCCAGCCGCACAAGAGGCTCCTATGGGGAAATGATCACTCCCGGTTCTGCAAATTACTTCGGGAGAGAGATCAGCCTAGCAGGACAAATCACCACTGGCAGACCATAATATCTTTTTTTTTTTAAAAAAAGACTCACTTCCAAACAAGCAAGGTGCACGTCTTTGATGATGCTGCCGTGTTTGGTGAAGACCAGCTGCTTCAACAGGAGGCAGCCGAGCTCCAAGGTGGCCAGACGGATTTTGCCATCTGCGGGAGGAGGAGAGGGAAACAGAGCAGGACAAGATTCAGAGGAAACCAATTGAAGGGTGGACGCTTCTTCCTGGCTGATCCAGTTTCAGTTAACACCTGCCCCACACCAGTTCAAGCGGGGCAAGTTCAACACACCAACAGCAAAGTTGCAAAGTGCTTTCTGCCCCTGAAGATGAAACATTACAGAAAAGTGGGTGGAAATCCCACCAGGCATTAAGAAGCGGGAATTTTATTCATAGGCAGAAATGGGGCAGAAGGATTCAGTCTTCTACCAAACCACTTTGTGGGGGGTATTTTTGATTTTTTTACTAGTCCAAGAGGGTAACAGCCTGTCTCTGTGCTGACTGTGGAGGGAAGACCTTGCCTACAACCAACTCTGGACAGTCGGGTATCTTTTATAAGCTCCCATCGAAAACCGGGTCTGTTCGCTGTCCTGGGAGACAAGCTCTGCATGCCAAAGAAGGCTAATGGGTTTATAATGACTTTTCCTGATGTCACTAAACAGTTGCTTGCTGGTTTATGCTTTTATTGTCATAAACGGCTCTTGGAAGAAAAGCTCCATGTTTCCTTCTTTTTCAAAAACTTGTTTTAGACCACACACAGTTGCACAGTTCCAGGACTGACTGGTGGAAAGCGAAGGTGGTCCATGACAGACCCTCTACCTGGCTGAGCAGCGTAGCTCATGATCCTGATGAGCCTCTCCGCAAGCCCAGGGTTGTATGAGTTCTTCTCCTCGGCATCCCGTGCCGAGAGCTGAATCCTCTCCAGGGTGATCGGCTTGATTCCTTGGGAGAAACAGGAATTGAATGTTGTAATTACAACTTGATTTGGCAAAGCAATTCCGAGAAACCACAAGCCAATAAAAAAGGGCAGCTCAGCTTGCAGTAGAATTCATCAAAGCTGCCCACACAAAAATTTGAAAAGCTTAGGAAACAAGGATTTATTATTTATTTCATTAGATGTGGATGTCACCCAACTTGAAGATGACTCTGGGCTGCTAATAAAAATGGCAAAACAGTAGCCCCATTCACACAACTTGAACAAACCCGCCTTGCTCTGTCCTATCAACTGAATTCATCTTTAGCTTCCCTCCAACCCATGACCCTGATAAGCATCTGAAAGTCTTGGAATCACGTGATTCTTCTTCTTCTCCTCAAGCAGCAGTCCACCACCCACACTACTGGTCAATTCCTCCTGTGTCTCCTGACAATGTAAATGGCACCACTTGATGTTTTTGATCCTTGGGGGAGCGGGGAAAGGGCTGATAAAACCTAAATCAACATCTTGAGAGCAACTTCAAGCCTCTCACTTCCTTTGCACAAAGGATGTTCTCACAAGACACTCTGATACTCAAAGGGGATGCAGAACCCAGGCCACCAAAGGGGGCTGAGGCTGCAGTCCAAGCCAAAAGCCACATCTGCTGGCTTCTAACCACTGGCACCAGCATCTTAGCAGCCCAGCTGGGTCAGAATCAGCACCCTCTTTTGCTTTCTCTTGCTTACCAGAAGGACCCTCTGGGAAGAGGAGCCCCAGGGGACCATTGAAAGAAAGAGGAAAAGGGAGAGAAGAGAAACAGAAAGCTACAGATTGACACCGGTATCTGTATTGTTATCAGTACAGTTAGAGGCACATCATTGTGAAATGAAACTAAGCTCTCCTGCAGTTGGGCGTTGAAAGCGACAGCCAAGATAAAGAAAAGCTACATATCTTTGTATGCATGAGCTGAGGAACTGAGAAGATCAATTAATTGGTTGGAGCATACAAGTTATTTAAAGCCACATTAGCACAACAGCGAGATTATTTCTCAGAAACAACAATACTTGTGTCAGTAATGACCTTTTGCCAAGCATTAAGGATAGCACACAAACGTTCACGGTTGCACTTCTACACAAAGAGGACACCTTTTTAGGGATGCAGCTCTCCATTTCCTATCAACCAGCCTATCAGTTGCAATAGTTTGCAACTCTCCATTTCCTATCAACCAGCCCTGAACTCTCTGAATTTCCAGGAGAACCTTTTGTGACTGGCATTTATCCAATCCACTAACTCCAACCTTAGGAGCTTAGTGCTTTGATACAGTGGTCCCCAAAGGTTTGGCACCAGGGACCGGTTCCGTGGGAAATGTGCTACCGAGATCTTGCGCATGCGCAGATGAAGTTTTGCTCACTTGCGCAGCCTGGCTCCTAATGGGCCACGGACCAGGACCAGTCTGTGGCCCGGGGTTCCCAACCCCAGTTTTAATACCTGCCCATGACAGACTTCCTTGTCCAAGACCTCCACGGGTCCCAGACTGCTTCTGTCAGAGCACGGAATCCCTCAGCAGGCAGCCCTGGATGTTCTCCGCCATCTTTAATAATACTCCCATGCAACGTTTAGAAGAGAAGGTGCCAAGTTTCAAACTCTCCTAAAAGTTGCATCTCCGGGCAGGAGAAACCAGAGAGATCACTGGGCAGCCATGAGGGACTGGGCTTGCTGTCCCCGAGATGGAGGGCAGGCTTTCAGGCTTTCAGTCATTCAGCCAGGAGGAAATGTGGCTCAGACACACCCACCGCTTCCCCTCCAAAAATCTCACTTCTTTTGCTGATGCAAATTAGGACCCATGTGGACAAAAGCATGGAGGTAAAGGGGGACTTGGCTGGAATTTAATTCCCTGAGCCGACCGAAGGAGTCGGAGCAGCAGAGTAGATTTTGCAGCGGCCCTTGGTCCCCCTCACAAAGCACAGACTTACCTTTGTTGTGAGACATGGCGTACAGAAGACACAACACAAAAAGAGCATAGTAGTCAAACTCAGCACACTCCAGAGCATTATACACCATCTCCAGAAAGGGCCTGGGGAGAGAAAAAAGGGATTTTTTTTTTTAAAATCAATTTCTGAGGATTCTGCCTTTTATTTGTATGCCTGATATCTCCCTTTGTGGCCCTGAATTATAATGAGCAAAAGAGTCCCTGGAGAATCTATCAGGGGATGAGCCCTTTGCCTGGCTGGGTGACAAGTTGTGGATCCCAAATCTTGGGAGTTTCCAGGCTGGATAACAGCACTCCAGCCTGGAGAAAGGCTTGCCTACCTGTTCCAGCTGGACATTTCAGAAGCAGCGGCGCTCTTCTCCTCGTCGGTTATGTTTTGCTCTGTGGCAGAAATGAGTTTGCAACGCTCCATGATCACCATCTCAATTTCTGAAGAGAGACACATTTTAGAGAGACGGGCTTGTTCAACAAAACAGAGGCAGGCGGACATTGCCCATGGGTGGCTGGGATTCTGGCCAAACTGAACGGAAGAGGTCATCGGAATCTGGTCCGTAGAGAGCTCAAAGGAACCCTGCAGAGAGATTACTGATGCCCCAATTGTGAGGAAATCCTGCTGACCTGTAAACCCAGGGGTTCTCCTTAAACAATCAAGGCAAGCAGATTAGGAACGGCTGAAGCCAGCCTCCTGTCTCAGCACAAAGCACGCTCCAGGCACTCTGCAGCGGGAAGGGAACCCCCGTTTGACCCAGGAGAATCTCCGTAAGGCAGCTGCAGGGTCCCGAGAGACGGGCGGTGGGCAAGGCAGGCAAAGACAACCTGAAGACTCAGGAGTAGGAAAAGAAGAGGGGACCTGCACACAGCTGTCCAGCCACCCCGACATCAACCCCGCAGACACAGGAGTGCAAGAATGGGCAGCCGGCACCTGGGGATCCTCTCACCTTCACTCTCCCCACTGGGCCTGAGGCCCTTGGAGGGACTCTCGGTGCCTTCTGGGGTGTCTTCCGGGCCCCTCTCTTCCTCCTCATCCTCCCCAACGTTTTTATAGTTGGGCCTCTTCTGCAGCCTCTTTCGTCCCTTCTGCTTATTAATTTCTAGCGAGCGCTCCAAGGTCTCGGAAGGTTTAATGAAGCACCTGACGCCTGTCTTGACCTAAAACATCCGCATAAACAGAAGGAGGTCAGCTCCACGACCTTCCTAACAAAATGAACAGGCCAAGCTTCAAAGGGAGAAAAGCCAGGAGTTCATACTGGTGTTTTAGAACTGCAAAAGAAATGCCAAGCAGCCTTTCTGCTCCCCAAACACGGCCTCTCAGCGGCTGATTCCTTGTGTGTAGCAAATGGCAAGAACAGGCCAGGACGAGGGAGGCCAGCAACCCTGGGCTCTTACACCACAGCCTTTAGGGGCCACCCCTCTCTCGTGGGGGCAGAGGGACGTGACACGGTCCGGCAGTAAATCCATCACAACCTTGCAGAAAATCTTGCAAGGACCACCACAGATTGCGGGTCTCACCAACTCCTAGAAACCTACACTGTTTTATTCTATGCCAAGAGTCTTGTTCAACAGGAGCCAAGGGGATTATTCAAGCCCCATCCCGCTACAGTATTTCTTCTGTTTCATGGAAACTCAACCAATCCCCAACCAAGTCACAATTCTAAGCACAAATGGCACTTTCTTTCTTGTAAATGTGAGTGGTCAATTAGTGCTTGGACTGGCTTAATTCTTGCCCCACAGATCTTCAACAACACCAAAAGCAGATTTAAGGGTAAAATCCAGGAAACCTCCAATCTTTCGTGCAATAGAAAGACAATGTTTATAGTCCAAAGAAGAAAGAAGACAAATTGATATCACAGTTGGAAAAGCTCTCAGTCTGGAAAAAGGATTCTGTCTTATGGTTTTTAAAGATTTAATTCTTGCTCAGTTCTGGTGTGCAGTTATTCATGGGGACCCCTCACCTGTTTCCTAACTCTACTGAGCTTGGCAGAGTGTTCCAGCTGAGATTAAGAAGCAAACCATGCAAAGATGAATATTTATCACTGGCCGTCTCCTTGGGCAAGGCTGTTTGCCCACCTCGTCTGTACACTTAAAGGCAGGCTGGAGCATCTGCTGCCCCCCTTGAGGTTACAGGAAGGAGCGAAAGTAGGTTAAGCCCAGGCGGGGAGCAGCAGGAGCCGCCACATCCGACTGGGGCAGGAAGCAGAGCAAAACCAGTTCAAAGGAGGCCAGGAGAATGCCGAGTGTGACTTTGGGTCCCCTTGGGCGGGTGTCAGGCAGGCGCATGACTCACCAGCCCCAGACAGCGAGGAGGAGACCACCACCCTCTTCTGGCACTTCCCACTGCTGGAAACACAAGCAGCTTCTCGGATTTGAAAACTGTCTCATAGCAAGAGAAGCGCTTTTCTCCAGACCACTCATATTTCGACAAAAGAGTGCGTCAGGTGTGGGGGCTGATCACCCAGCCCACCTCTCCGCTCACCAAGATAGGTGAAGATAGGGCGGGGGGACAAACTGCAGACTGCTTTCCCAATTTTCTCAGCTGCTCAGAGAAACAAACCTTTTCCTGACTGCTTGCTACCCCCATTTAACCTAAAAATGGCAGAGCTTGAGCCTAAGACCTGCCTACCAACAGCAACTTGTAAAAGGCTACCAAAATCAAAGCCATTGTTGCCATCAAAATTGCTTCAAGGAAGTGGGCAGGGATTCTCCCAATCATTTGAATTTCCCGCGTTCCTTCGGCTCTGCTGCACCGCTTGCCCTTCACTGCCATCAATGCTGCTGTTTTCTTCTGCCTTTGGTTCGTTTTCTCTCCTCCCTCCCAGTGAGAGAGGGGCTTCTTTAAACCACCAGCATTACAATATCTACCCCCACTGCTTTTAGGATGATAATAATAATAACAACAACAATAATAAAAATAATAAGTTGGAAGGGACCTTGGAGGTCAGCTAGTCCAACCCCCTGCTCAGGCAGAAAACCCTATATACCATTTCAGACAAATGGCTGTCCAGTCTCTTCTTAAAAACTTCCAGTGTTGGAGCACCCACAACTTCTGGAGGCAGGTTGTTCCACTGGTTAATTGTTCTGTCAGGAAATTTCTCCTGTTCTAGGTTGCTTCTCTCCTTGGTTAGTTTCCATCCGTTGCTTCTTGTCCTGCCTTCAGGTGCTTTGGAGAATAGCTTGACTCCCTCTTCTTTGGGGCAGCCCCTGAGATACTGGAACACTGCTATCCTGTCCCCCCTCGTCCTTCTCAAGTCATCGAGGCAACCACCACTTCTCCCTGCCTTCACTCAAAAAGCTTTTCTTATTGGGGGGAAAAGGCCAGCTACGTTTTGGGAGTTGCAGGACAGCTGACCCACCTGGGCTTGTTTCAGGGCAATATCGGGTCTGCTCAAACTGAGCTGGTCCTATTTCTGCCACCTAGAGATTTCCACTGACTGCCCTATTCCAGATCTGTTTCCAAAGCTTTAGGAAATCACCCCCATCTTACTTAATAAATGCTATGAGTATGTAACAATGATTGCTGGTTAAAGAATAAAGTAAAAATGCTAAGATTAGCTCTGGAACATGTCTGCCTTTTGAAGGATTAAACTTACCTAGAAAAACCACTAAAATAACATCCACTCGTGTTACAACCCATTGCGAGTAATTCATCCTCTCACATACTTAAAAAAAACAAAACAAAAACTCAAGACCAAGTAATTCTGCAAAAGACGTTCAGTGGAAGTCAAACTGCTAGAGCAGAAAACAGGCGACAAGCTTCTAACCACAGATTTCCCAGTAACAGAACCCACTGAACAAAAAAGTGGGCAAAACCCCAGAATGAGTCTGTGTGCTACAAAGACAAGATCATTTCCATGTGCCACGGCGCTTTTTATCTTTCAGCTTGCATGCGCGATCAGGCCTGATTTTTTTAAAAAAACACCAAGATAAAGCATACCCAAGAACCCTTTAGATGCCAGGCAGATCATGCCACAGCCCCGGTCTTGCCAAACAAACCAAGAAGGAATCTTAGAGTCGACAGACGTTCTTCATAGACTTACAGAGCTTTTCTGGACATCCTGCTCCACTTTTGAGAAAAACACCGAGAGGTCTCCGTTCAGAATGACTTCGGCCAACGAATTCACCAGGGGGGCATAATGGATGATTAGGAAAACCTGTGGGGGGGGGAGGAGGCAGAGAAGCAGAAAACTGTTGCGGGGGGGACACTCATTAACTTCCCATTTATCTTGCTCTAAAGTGATTACTTTAGGCCAGGCATGTCAAACTGCCGGGCCAGATGAGTCACGCCAAAACTGCGCCCACCCCACATGACGTTGTGAGTTTGACATGTCTGCTTTAGGCTGATTTCACCGGATGATCCTTCTTTCAGTGTGTGGGAGAGAGGAGAACATGTTTAAATGCTTCCTGACATCATGCTGAAGGGCCCGCAGTTTTCCACAACAGAGAGTGTGGTTTGTAGAGACAGCTGTAACTAATCCAGGCGTTTTCTCACTCCCCATCATTAAATACCACATTCCACCTATTTGCCTTGACACTAAGTGGCCCTGGTCCTTTAATTTCCCTCCCATGCCTGTCCTTACTCCATCCCAAATCACTATTGCAAAATGACTGACCCCCCCCTCCATGGCCTGTTTTAACACAGTTGCTACAGCATTGTTAAAAAGTAGACATGATCCTCTATCAAATTCTATTTAATAGAGTCTAGAGCAGTGGTGGCGAACCTATGGCACGGGTGCCAGAGGCGGCACTCGGAGCCCTCTCTGTGGGCACATGTACCGTCGTCCCAGTCCTAGGCCTTCAGCTGGGTTTTATAAAACCTTTTCACTTTAGGCCTCTGCCGCCGTGTGCAAAAAAAAAAAAAAAAAAGTTCAGTCAATTTCAACCTCTCATGGAAAAAAAAGATCTTGCAAAGTTGGAATTGATTGATTGAACTTTTTAGTCCCACCCAGTCTGCCGTTACCACTGCAGCCACGCCCACCCAATGGGCCACACCCACCCAATGGGCCATACCCACCCGGCACTTGACGATGCATAAATGGGTTTTGGGTTGCAGTTTGGGCACTCGGTCTCTAAAAGGTTCGCCATCACTGGTCTAGAGCAAAGTTTCTCAAACCTCAGCAACATTTAAGATGGGTGGACTTTAACTCCCAGAATCCCATGCTGGCTGGGGAATTCTGGGAGCTGAAGCCCACTCAGTTTAAAAGTTGCTGAGATTGAGAAATGCTGTTCTGGAATCAGTACTGGATCATTAGCACTTACTTGTGACAACAGATACAGAGAAACCTGGAAACTTATTCTTGGCCGTTCTCCAGTCTAAGAAAGAAACAATTAAGAAACGGTTTTTAACTGTGGAACAGTTAATGCATGTATTAACAACATGCCCTTTCATTTTTGAATTACACACAAAAAACAGTTTCCAAAGAGGTACAACCGGATCTGCAAGGAGGGAAAGCTTTCGACAATCAAGCTAGGAGGAAAAGACAAAACCCTGAAGCTTTAATCAGAACCCATGAAGTAACTTCTGTGGCTGCCCAAAAGACGATTAGCCAAGGCAAGCCACAGGATGGTTCGTGTGCAATTATTACATCAAGAGGGGTTTAGAAATCTTTGTTATGAAAGGACGTAGCTGCCCTTTGCCACTCTTTCAACTGAACTGATGGCCCAATGAGGAGGCTCGCTGCGCTGTCACGACCTCCCTTTCTCCCTCATTTTGCCCTGACAAGGAAACAGTGGCGGCGGCCCTGCTCCCTTCCTGGTAAACAGTGGTGAGAAAAAGCCTGTGTGAATCGGAGCAGTTCCCTCTCTCCTGTGATGAACTCCGCAAGGTTAACGATAGAATAATTATTTTAATACGATAATGCAGGTTTGCTTCTATGGCTCAACAGAGAGATTCTTGCTGTGGCATTACTTCAGAAAAATGTCACAAGGCAGCTGGGTTCTCGTAAAGCCATCTCAAACAAGGGAAGAGGCCGCTTTGGACAGGAACTCCTCACCTTATCCTGATTGACTAAGGAGTACACGTAGAGAGGCAGGAAGAGGCTGTTGAGCAAGTGGTCCGTCAAGACTTCATTTAAGAATTCACAATTGATAATTAGGATGTCGTTCAGGTAATGGAGGTGATCCAGGTGCTCGGCTACAAGGTCACTCAGTTTGCCCCGATTTCTGTGCCTGAAAAAAAGGGAGCAGACTAAATATGCAGTCACTACCCTCCCCCAAAGAACTGGTGCTGGGTAAATAAGAAAGGCTTACTCCTCGTCTGTCTGAACGCAGTTGTCCAGCTCTATCACGTGGCTCCCGATGAACCAGACGAGGTTGGAGAAGTAAGGGACGGCTGTCTTGTCTCGAATATAGTGCAACATCGCCTGGTTGTCCACTGAAGGCAAACAGGCTGTTATCATCATTGATATATCTCTCCCCAAACACTTTAAAAATGGATCCCTTCGTCTAACTCGCTTTTGCCAACAGGGGCCAAAATCAATTCTATTTCTATCGCAGTTTTTGGGAGAAGCCAACATCCCCTTCGAGAGATTAATCTAATAATAAAAATCCTGAAAGCGGCTGGAATCTGCCGCAGGTGAGAATTGCCCCACTTGCTTTCTAGGGAACTGGGTAACAGCACAAGGCGGGAAAATCAATCAGCAGACTTACATGACACTGTTTTAAGAGACACGGGATGCGTCAGTGAAGAAAAGACGAGAGGGGACAAGAAAGACAACATGGTTAACAGGGTTAGGAGCTCCAAAGAGGTCAGTGGCTAAAACAGCAAGCATCTAGGCTAGAAGAGACCAGTTAGAAACAAGCAAACAGCCCTCGAAAACCCGCCTGTCCCAAGGCCAGCCATCAGGAGGTGCCCTCCCCTCAACTGCACATTCCAGGACAGGAACTATTTATTATTAATTTTATTTATTTATATCCAGCCTTTATTTTTTTATACAAATAATTAAGACTCTGATAGTTTTGATTACTTACAGACTCTCTGGAAACCTTATGGCTTAGAACAGAACAAATCCTGTCTATGTCAGAGTACTATTTCTAGAGCATGTGACCAAAACCACTATTTTGGAAGTGGTCCAGCTCCAGTTTATGTGTTTCTTTACATGAGGGAAGGGCAAATCCAATGGCCCTCCCTTTCCTCTGTTGCAGGATTCCACAGATTCTGAATCCCAGCTTTAAATGGGCATGCAAGCCAGTCCAGAATGCATCCCTGCCTTAAAAACCTCTACCTCTAATGTCTGGGTTCAGAGGGCAAAATGGAAAACATCTGGCTGAGTTCTAGATTGCAGCTGACATTTTCTTCTCTGATGAAGAAGAGTGTGCATGCAAGGGAGAGAGAGACAGAAGGGGGTCAAAAGTTCTATAAATATTCCAGGAAACTGCTCTTGGTCCTGATCAAGCAACTCGGAGATTCTCACTCACACATTCTCAAGAAAAATCCTTCCCCAAGTGCAAAACCTCATGCCAAGAGCGACCTCTAGTGGCCATTCCCTGAGTATTCTCTTCTGGGCTTCCCCTGCTTCTTAGTGCTCCCTCCTGGCTGAGATGACAGCAGCAACTTAAAAAAAACAACTCGTTCTGGAAGTCAGAGCTTCTGACCAGAGCCTCATGTTTTCCACTAGGTCAAATCGGGCTCTGCCCTCCCTAACTTTCTCCCGATAAATCTGGGAAGGCCAGACGCCCCAGCCTCCTTCAAACGCGAGTGTGGTGCTGAAACTACCCAAGAAGACGCTTACCTTTGTAGACGTTTAATGTGATGGTTCTCACTGCGATCCTGACCATGCTTTCTGGGTGGTTGAAGAATTTGATGGCCTCAGTGTACAGGGCAAAATCATTGGTATGCTGAGAAGGAAATAAAGATTATGCATTTTTATTCTGCCCTTTCACGCCCTGGACTGTTAAAGCACATTCTGGGGCTTCGGTAAAACAAGAAGCTTCCCTTTGCACCTGGTCTGGTGCACAAGCCTTTGGGCAGAATTTTAAAGCCTTGTCCCTCAGGCCGGGTCCCTCCTGATGCTCTCAACTGCGACTCCAGCAGAACCATCTACGAACTTTTTAAATATTTACAGATTTTGAAATAAACACTTAGGATACAGAAATAACCATGGTCACTTCTGAAGTACACATTTGACAACGATATATACGTTGTTCCACAAAATATTTAACCAACTCTCAACAAGCAGAATTTCAACCTGCGACTCACCTCGTTGTAAAAAAAGTGAACGGTGTGATTATTGAGTTTCAGGGAAAGTGTTTTTAAGAATGAAATATAGTATGCCATGATTTCTTCATCTGAGAAGTCAAATTTGTGCACTATTATAGAGTTCACGTAGTTGTTGGACAGTAAATAGTCTGAGGGAACAAAATACAGATGCATAAAATACAGATAGTTCTCGACTTACGACCACAATGCAGCCTAAAATTTCTGTTGTTAAGTGAGAGTTGTTAAATGAGTTTTGTCCCATTTTACGACCTGCCACAGTTGTTATTATGTGGTTGATAAGTTAGTAATCTGGTTGTTGAGTGAATCTGGCTTCCGCACTGACTTTGCTTGCCAGGTGGTCACGAAAGGGGATCACATGACACCCCCGGGACACAGCCACGGTCACAAGTATGAGCCACTTGCCAAGCATCTGAGTTTTGATCACGTGACCATAGGGACATGGCAAAGTCATAACTGTGAAAAATGGTCATAAGTGACTTTTCTCAGTGCCGTTGTAACTTTGAACGGTCACTAAACGAACTGTTGTAAGTAGAGGACTAACTGTACAGATTTAGCATACAAATTAATTCAGCAATGCACAAAGTTTTCTTAAAGGATCACTGCCGTCTCTGATTCTGATTCTGATTCTGATTCTATCCAATCAGGAACAAAGACGAAAGGGAACAAGGAGAAATCTCCTCTGCGAGAAGCACATAAAGAATTATATGTTCCGCCTTCTTATTTCTGTTCTCTGCGTTCTCTTGCCTTGTCTGCACACGTTGCACATGTATCAAAGGAGAACTTTCTGTTTACAGTTCACTGTTTCTTTTTTCAGGAAAAAACGAGTGTCAAAACATTTTAAAATCATGTTTAAAAAAACGTTATGATGTATATCATAGATCTTTTGCAAAATTTATGTTTCCTTGTGAAAAGAGAAACCACTTGGCCTAACACTTACAACTTAATAAAATTAAGTGGTTGAACAGTACTATACGCTGAAGAATATTAACCAGCTCAAGTCCCAATTTATTTAATTCATTTAATACCTAATACATTTAAAACATCTCAAATTCTACAATCCTCATGACAGAAAACAATAACCTGAGTTATATGTGTAGCTTACATTTTCAACAAAAGTTGCTTTGCCTAAAGAGAAATGTGCATACTTACAAAGGGATGTTTCGTGACTGATGTTCTCAAAGAGGATATTTAAAGTCTGGAGAAGCTGCACACACACATAACGGCCCGACTTCTGGCGCAGAATGTTCAGAAAGAACACAAACATGTTTTTCTCCAAGAAAAAGCTGGAATGCAAATATTTTTACCAATTTACGGTATCTTATTGAGAAATTTCATTCAAATGTTTATTGCTGGAATGTAATATTGGTGAAGATAGTGATAACTATATTTTAACCAGCATGATTAGAACTATATTGATATATTTATTAGCTTCTCAGGCCACTGCAGTTGAATCATTCTCAGTAGTTACAGAAAATAAAACATCCATGTAACAGGAATAAACATAATGAAAAAAGTCCGTATTTGTTAAAGCAAAATCATACAAGCTCTTACTCAAACACTGAACTGTCATTTTGATCTCCCCATATCAGGATCTCGGTTATTGATCGAATGGTTTCCACCAAAAGGTTGCGGTTGTGGTCAGTCACAGTGGTATTTTTGGTCAAAACATGATACATATACCTGAAAGACAAGAAGAGAGAGTAAACATTGGGCCCTCAAACCTGCCTGTGCAACCAAATGGTCTCGATGGGATTATGTATGTTGAAGGTTAAGCCTGGGAGAATCTGTGGCTCTTTGGAAGCACTGCAGAAACAATTCAATTATTCTCCTCACTTTTTCTCTCTCCTTTAGATTTGTTAAATGTTCTTAAGTTTAGCATAAGCCACCCTGAAATCAAATTATCTGGCACCAAAAGCACCCCCTATCCTTCTTTCTCTTTTTCAGGCATTTTCCCTGCAGAAACGGCAATCAAGGGCTCCATCAGAACGGTCTTCCGGCTAAAGGGAGGCCAGAGGAAAACCCTAGAACGCCAGCAAGTATCCAAGGGTGAAGCAAATAAAACTTAGGCATAACTAGCTTGAACTATATACATTTGTTTTACACAAACTGTCCATGTATGGTTTTCCAGAATTATGAAATCTATGAAAACAAACAAGCCACGGCCTGTGTTTCAATATAGTTTAGACCTGGAATACTGTGTATTGTGCACCTCAAGTAATTCCCACAGGAATGGAATGGTGATGAAAAATAATCTCCAAGATGGTCAAGGGAGCTGATAAAATATCCTAGCAGAATTTCTGACCTTTTACGGGTACAGAATAAGATAGAGGCCTGAAAAGATTATGCTTCGTTTTCTGAAAGAATAATCCAATAAAGCTGACAGGAAGTAATTCTTACTCACAAAATTGTCAGATTCACTACCAGAAAATCATTTTGGCAGCCTTTTGGGAAAAAGTGAAATAAGAATAATTTAAATAAACTAAATGAATAAAAATAGTGCTGACCACCAATCCGGACACCTTTAGTACGTAAATGCAGAGCAGTTAAAACTGCTGGTCATGATGACTCTGTTACCCTGGAAAGATACCCAGCCTGCCTCTCCCTCCCAAATGCAAGCAGCTGTCCGAGGGAGGGAGCTGTCAGTCCAGGCTGCTTTGCTTAGAGGCCTCCTTCCCTTCGGCACTTAGCAATCGCCCTTAGACTTATATGCCGCCCCAGAGTGCTTCACAGCCCTCTCTGGGAGGTTTACAGGGTCAGCAGCCTGTTGCCCCCAACTCTCTGGGTCCTCATTTTACCGACCTCGGAGGGACAGGAGACCGAATCGGCCTTGAGCTTTAGGAGAGGATTATCTTTCAGCCCTCGGTCCTCAGCTCAGGAGGCAGGGAAGTGGCTGCTAACAGGTAATCCTTGTCCTTTGGGCCCTTGGCTTGACCTTACGTTCCCCACACCAGATTACAATTCCGACTGTTCTCACTCCACATACTTCCTGGAATATTAAAAGGGGGGGAAAAACCCCTTATTTATGGTCATTTGGGCAAATTATCTAGCTTATGTTCTTCTCCACGCTGAGAGTGTTATTCTGCATAGGACTAAGGCTACACCAACAAGCTGAGAAAAAGTTAGAATTTACTTTTGGTCGACAACTTGTCTTTACTATCAGACTGAGGCTCTTCCGCAGCTCCCTGTTCGGCAGCCAGACTGCAAGCACTGCGCAGGCGCGTCGGCCCCCCAGGACCCCCCCCCGGGAAGGCCTCTTCCTCGGGCGCCTCCCGCGGCCCCGCCAGCCGCCCCTTTGGGCCTTCCCCGCTTCAGCTGAACCCGCAGAGAAGGGCTGGGGGGCCTCGGGCACCCTCGCGAAACCTTTCCCGCTACGGAGGGGGACGACCCCGCGCCCCAGGCCCAGCGGCTCCTCTTGCATCCAGGCGGGGCCCGCCGGGCCAGGGGCTTCTGCGGGAGGGAGGCCTCCGGGCCGGGCGCTTCAACGCCCCCCCCCCGTTTCTGAACGGCTTTTTCTTCCCAGGATTCCCACGGCCGCCCAGGGAGCGCTGGGAGTTGTAGTCCACCCATCCTGAAGCGGCCCAGGTCGCCAACCCGGCTTCAGAAGCGGCCTCTCCGGCAGGCCCGGGGCGCGCGGGGGGCGGCCACCCGACCCGGAAGGGGCGCCCGGGAAGCGGCGGGCAAAGCAGCCGGGCAGGCCGAGGGGCTCCGCGCGACGCCCCGTTTCTACCCCGCAAGGCCCCCCTCGGGCCGCCTCCGGGAGCGGAGGGGGCGGGGCCGGCTGCGGGCGATGGGCGCGGGGGTCCCGCGGGCCTGGAAGGGGCTCCCCCTCCGCAGAGGGGCCGGGGGGGGCAGCGACCTCTCCGCGGCCGGGACTCACTTGAGGTGCTCGAGCGAGTGGATGTTGCGCGAGGCCTTCCCGCCGCCGCCGCCGCCCCAGCTGCGCGACCGCCCGAACATCGTGCGCGGGCCCGGCAGGCGCGCCGCCGCTCCTACGGCCGCCGCCGCCGCCGCCGCTGCTGCTGCTGCCGCCCCTGCTCCTCTTCGGTCGCCTCGTCCTCGGCGGGCGCCGCCGCCATCCTCCCCTCAGCCTCTCAAACTAGCCGGACGCCCCCGCCGCCGTCCTCTCGCTCACTACGCAGATGCGGGGCATGCCGGGAAGCGCAGTCCTACGCGCCGGCGCCTGCCCTGACGCCCGACGCGGGGCGGACCGGCCGTAAACTCTCAGTCCCGGCGGCCCCCGCGCGCGGGCATCCCGGAAGGCGAGGGAGCGTTTGTGACCCAAGGGGGGCGGGGCGAGCATGCTAATGAAGCGCCGGCGTCACGGTTAACCCCCTGGCTGCCGGGCGGCGGCGCTGCGGACTACGCGGGCTCCGGCGGGCGCGATGCACGGCTGGCGGGCCGGCAGGACGCTCCGTCCCCGGGGGCGCTCGGGCTGATCCCTCGCTCCAGCGGCCCGGCCGGGCCCGTCCTTTCCGCCGCACCCGCCCGGCACCCGGAGCCCCTACCGGCGCCCGCCCGAGCCGGGGCCGCCGTGCGAAAGCAGCTTTGCGGCTTCCCGGGCTCGCCATGGGCGGGGGAGAGGCGCCCGGCGGGGCGTAGGGGGGCTGCGCAGAGGCGCCCCCGCCGCAGCCCTCCCGCAAGGCGCGTCGCCGGCCGGCTGAGCCCCGCGGGGGGAGGAGAGGCCGGGCGCCGGACGGTCCCCCCGGCCAGTGCCGGCTTCCCCGCGGCGCCCGGAGGCGGGCCGGAGAGCAGGGGGCGCGCGGGGCGGCGCTGCGGCAGGGCGGGCCCCTTGTGCCGGCGGCCTCCTTGCGGGACTGCCCGGCCGGCGGGGCTGCGCCGCTTGTGCCGGACCGCGGGCGCCCAGCCCGCCCTGCCCTGCCCTGCCCTGCCCCGCGCTCCTGGACCGGCGCCAGGCGCCCCGCCGCCCCCGATGTTCTCCGCCGGCCTCTTCCTGGTCAACCTGCTGATCCTCTACTACGCCTTCCTGCTGGAGTACCTGGCCCTCAACGTGGGCATCGTCTTCCTGCCCGACGACATGGAGCAGGCGCTGGTGGACCTCGGGCTGCTCTCCGACCCGGCGCTCGGCCTCTACCGGCCGGACAGCGAGAGCGAGCCGCTCGACGCCGCCTGGGACTAGAGCCGGCCGCCGGAGGGGCTGCTGGCCCGGGAGAGGAAGCCGGCGGGCAGCCCTTGGCCGGCGGAGGTACGGCTGCGAAGGAGGGGGAGCCCCGAGGGGTGGCGGCACAGCCTTGGCTGCCCTTGAGCAAGGCGCCTGTCCTCCAACGGGTGAGGACTACAGCTCCCATCATTCCGAGCCAGTCCAGGACACCGGGGAGGCAGGGAATGCCAGAGAAGATGGGCAGCGATGGGTGAGCGAAATTCTCCAGACGGCCCCCTCGCCTCTCTGGGTGTGTTAAGCTAAGAAGGTGCACATGGGATTCCCAGAGGAGAACACCCCCCCCAAGAAAATGCTCCTGGATCTGCTCCTGGGAACTAACTAGGTTGCTGGCCTTTCTGCCCCATGGGGCAGTTCCTCCGGGGCACAAAGCATCTCTGCAGCCCCTACCTACCGTAGGCATTCTGCCCATCTTTCCTGCAGGAACACAGGCTCCCCCTTTAACCTTTGGCTTTAATTCACATTTCTACAGGCTTGCTGCAGGAGGAAAGAAAGGAAAAAGATTCCAGAAAGGAACCCATGGATTCTGAGGCATTCTGGGGTCCCCCCAGGGAAGCTGGACTGAGGATGGGACCTGCCCATTATTGGAACTCTTGACGGGTTTGGCGTGATCCTGCGATTCTGCAGGAATTCATTGAACACACTATCAGGGTTTACCCAGAAGATCTGGAGGGGGATTTGGCTACCTAAAACCCAAGGAGATTCTAGTTTCTTACACTGAACGAAGGGATTTACTCCTCGTTTGCAAACTTCAAGGAACAAGAATTGGTTCTCTTGTTTTTGAAGAGGTAAAGATATGTGTAGAGCTAACCTGGATTCTTAGACAAGGCAAGCAGTGGCTGTGATGGGGTCATCAGGTTTTAAGAGGGGGTGGGGGAATAAACTCAGAGAGCCTGAGGTTGCTTACAACAGCGCATGTTCCTGAACACACAACTGCTAGGCAGTTGAAACTTGGCCTTGCATTACCAATCAAGACCCCCCCAATCACATTTTCCCCGTAGGGTGGTAGAATATAGCCCTCAATTATCAGTACTATCCATATCTGTGAGAGCTTCACTACTCTTAAATGTTTTCCAACACGTGAAACGGTTATATGGCATTAATGAAGCTTGTTATCTGACATGCTAGGTTTCCAGCTGCAGGGAGAGGCAGGTGTGGAAATATGACGAAGCCATCTATTTGCACAGAAGTCCTTAAGTGTTATTAGCCACGAAGGCTCCAGATTCTGCTCTTTCAAAGGGTGGAAATGCTGGAAGTCTCCAACCAGCAATCTTAATTTGCTGTGAATGATCAGGTCGCCCTTCTTAAATTTTATTTTTTTTTTGGATCCCCTGAACCTTTGCAAAATCCACTGCTTTTTAAAGAGTAATAATATAAGAAAAAAAGAATTGCAGGGATGTTTCTGTCACACTGTTACAGAGAAGAATTGCTTTTGTAAGTATTTTTATAACTTGGGGGAAGGAAAGAAGAGCCTTGTCACTGTTATGGCAAGTTATTTTGGAAAATGTTCAAATGCATTGTTATGTAAAGCAGAAAATGTAAAAAAAAGCAATATCTTGATAACCGGACCTCTCGCAAATACAGATGTATGCAGGTGAGGTACAATTCGCTTTGCGTATTATTGCTGGGGCGCCAGGGTGGCTGCTGGGGTGATTTCATGGCAAAGGCTGCAGCTGGACGGCTTTCTTGGGGCCTTTGCATCTTAAAAGTGGGGGTCAAGGTTCCAGTGGCCCTAGCAGAAGGGCAAAGCTGGCCAGCAGATGCTCAAGACAGATCCTCTTCTTTGCTGTCTCACAAAGTTCCTTCTAGAACCAACCGCCCATAACTTTCCCCCTTTTGCTTTGTCTAACCTCCTTTATGGAATCCTTGGCAAAGCTGCCATCCTTCCTCGGTTTCTGCCAGTCCGTTCCTAAAGGGAAGGATGCATTCTAGGAAATCAATTCAAAACTGCTAGCTTAGCCCCTGAATTTTTAATCCAAGACTCCACCAATATTCCCATTTTCAAAAAAATAAACCCATGCGAGACACTTCTAGAAACAGATTTATTGACAGTTTCTCAGGGATATGAAAACTGTACATTAGAGTTAACTCAGAAGAGGCTGTGTGGTCCGATCATTAGAAAAAAGCTTCTAGGCTCAGACAGAACCAACACATGTGGTGCACCTTCCACAGTTGCTAAAGCTTAAAATGACCCTTGTAGGGCCAGGATTACATTATTTCTCCAAAGTTTTTAGCAAGCTGCGAGGGGCTGATCTTGACTTCATGCAGAAATGCTCCAGAAAGATACCAGCTCTCAAAGGGACCTGAGTTTATTCAGAAAGCACCAGCATTGTTTTTTCTTTAGAAAAGGCAGTTGCTTATTCTCCATGGATACTTCCGCTAAGTCAAATAATTTTTGACACATCTACCTATGTGCAGACACAAACATTTCCCTTGCCTTCACCCACATCACAAAATTTGGGACCCAAAGTCCAACTGCCCTGGAGAGGATTCTTTCAGAAAGGGGATCCAGTAATCATGTTGATGGAGAAAAAGAAGCAGCCTTTACGGATCACCCAGCTTTAACTTAGCAGCAGAATGTCCTCCTGCATGAGAGAAAACGGGGCGGGGGGCGGGGGGGGGAGGCCTCTCTTAAAGTCATGCAGTTGCCATCGGGAGCCCCGGATTCAAAGTGAGGCATGGGGCAGGGAAGTGAAGCTTCAGCCTGATGATCGGGGGCACCGTTCATGGAAAGTGTTTATTAACTATCTATATTGATGACATTAATTGAAAGAGATTTTTGTCACAGGACAAGTGAAAGGGTTTGGATATCTGGGGGTTCAAAGTGCCCACGGTGATAAATAGCCTTTTATGATTTGTGAGCAAGGGGGAGCCAACAGAGCATCACCTCCCATTTTGAGAGTTTGGGATGGGAAGACTGTAATTCAGCATCTATTCCACAGTGAGGAGCCTTTAATAGGCCGGATGTAGAACCACGGAAGCTCCTACAGGCCCCTTGAAGATACCCACCACAGCAGAATCTGAAGCAACTGGTCAGTGGCTGCCTCTAAAATCTTCTGATCCGAGAATCCAGCTGCTGCAGGTGATCCAGAACTCCGTGAGGAATTGTTCGGTTCCACAAGCTGGAAAGGTTTTTTTAAAAGCAAGAAACTAAACGTGACTGGAATAAATGGGTCTCTCTAGAAAAAAAGGGCCACCAGCTGCTGTCACTGAGGGCAGGGTGACTCTGTGTGTGTGTGTGGGGGGGGTGTTTTCCATTCTGCAGCTGGCCAGGAATTTGGGGACCTCGCAGACACCCCCAATTGTCCTGCCCATAACCTCTCCCAAAGCTGCACCCATTGAATCCGGTGCAGTTCAAAGTGGGATTTGGGGCACCCCAGGATCACGAAGAGGCCCAAACTTACGCCAAGCTCTGAATGCGGGGGCATCTCCTCAAGCGCTCCGTCAGACACCGGGCTCCGGCAGCAGAAATCTGGTTGCAGTGCAGGCTGGGGGGGGGCAAAGGTGGCACAGGCAGAATTACAGGCACCCCCTTTGCCAGAAAGGTCGGCAAAATGGCAGAGGGCCCAAGGGCGGAGCATGGGTGGGTCTCTGGGCACCCATCTGGTTCTATGAGCCCTCCCTGTATTTGGGGGGGAAGGACTCCCCAAGAGCCTGGTGGGGCAGAGCAGGGACGTGTCTGAGCCCCTCAGGTGTTGAGGCAGAGTTCCTCTTCTCTGCCTGAATTTCCCACCCCATCGAACGTCCAGGCAGCCGGAGTGGCTGTACAGTAGCTAAGGGGTGCCTGCATCAAGACTGAGGGGTGCCAGTCCTGTATGAAAGGCTCCTTTGACTCCCGGGAATGAAACCTCCTCCCCCTCCCAGCCACACACCGTGGCACACTCACTCCAGCACCCGCAACGTGCACATCTGGGGCAGCACCTCTGCCACACACTCCGCACCAGCATCTCCAATGTTGTTTTCGTACAAGCTGCGGGAGCCAAACCAACGGAGAGGCTGAGAAGCCGATCCAGTCCCCGCTGCCAGGAACCAAGTTCCCCCCCCCGAAATCTGTTGAGGGCCATTTGGGAGGCCGGGAAGCAGGCCCAGCCCCAGGGGGGGGTGGAGGACCCTTCCCCAGTCTCCCTTTGGCAGGTGGAGAGCGAGGCTGGCCGGCTTTCTGATCTGCTCCTGGGGGCTCCAGTGGGGGCTCCTGGCTGCTGGGGGTCACCATCCCTGTCTGGCATTGGCTGACCCAGAAGGGGCCAGGCCTCACCTGAGGGTCTTCAGCAAACGCATGGAGGGCAGGGCTCCGGCCAACAGCTCTGCACCCAGGTCAGTGATCTTGTTCCGGGACAAGCTAGGAACAAAAGATGGTTACATCAGGATGTTTCAGATGGGGGGGGGGGTCCTTTCCCTCCCTCTCTGGAATGTCCCGTTAAGTAAGGCTGCTGTGAGAGGGTCCACCACACAGGCCAGCCTCTTCCTAAATAAATATTACTCTTTTACTGTTTTCTGGTTTTTTAAAATTCTGTTTATAATCTGTCCCAAGAATTGGCGGTTAGGCGCTTTGTAACCATTACACGCTCCAGCATGTTTCATTAACTTACTTCAACGTTTCCAGAGACGCCAAGCGAGGAAGGACGCGGCTGAGGGATCTCACCCCTTCGTCTCCGATTTCGTTCTCATCAGGGGAATCCAAGCTGGGGAACAATCAGGCCAGAACGGCTGCAAATTCTGCTTAACCTGGGGGCATTTGGGGGGGGGGCAGGCAGGCCAGGGTACCAAGAGGGCAAAGGAGGGGGGCAGGAAAAGCAGAGGGGCTCTGCAAAAGACGCCCATGGGACTTTGCTTTTCTTCCCGTGCTCGTTCTGAGGACCCCCTCGACGTGCCCAGATGGCGGGGTGTGTGGAGGGGGCCAGCAGGACTAGGAACATCCTGGAAGCCCCATTCCAGCTTCCGTCCAAGAATGTCTTCCTCACCAGGTCAACACATCCTGGAGACCCAGCAGGGCAACCTGCCACCGTGGCTCCCCCTTCCTGCGGCCCTGGTGGTCTCAGACCTTGGTGCCTAAGCCTGGCATCTGACTGACCCCCCCCCTTGTCCTCGCCCCCCTCCGCTCAAAGACACTCCCCGGATGGAAGTTGCCAAGCGGGGCCCTTCGGCTCACTTACTCCAAGTGCTGAAGAGCCGAAAAGGCAGCCAAAGATTCCACCAACTTTTGGAAACCCTCCAAGCCGCAGCTGGGCCCGAGGCTGCAAGGCAAATGGGGAGGGGGGCGGTGGGTGCTGGACTCCTGACCCAAGGCCCCTCCTGCATCCCTGCCAAAGGTGCCCTTCCCTTGTCCTTTGTTTGGCCTAGAAGCCATCAACCTCCCTGAGGCTCCCAACTGGCAGCCCATGAGGACATCCATGGGTGTTCTGAGGTAGACTGCCTCAGCATAAGGAGGTTCTGCATTCCGCTCTTAAAATACCCATAGATGAACTTACCTGAATTCTAGTTGCAGGAACCCAGCAATGGCTGGAATAAGACGGCTGCTGGAACCGGCAGAGTCTTCCCTGCTAAACCAAAAGGGGTTGGGGGCAAAGACGGTCAGGGTGGCTAAGGAACACCGCATCTCCCACCCCTAAATCCCTGACCCCAAAGGCAGGCTTAGAGGGGGACTGGGATTCCCCATCCCACTAACCCGGAGACCTTCCCTCCAGCTAGCCTTTGGGGATGCCCGTAGCGGACCCACGTGCCGAGCTCTCTCCCCGCATGACCCCAGCCCAGCTGAGCGGGGAGCCTTACCCTTCCGCCATTTCTCTGTGCAGCTGCACCAGGCCCAGGAGAGAGTCCACGTCCGCCATCGTCTCCGCCCTGAAGGGCACCACCAGGAACTTCCCCATGGCTGCCTGCAGGGCTTCCCTCTCCTGGGCGTCCCACAGGAGCTTCCAGAGCGCCACGGCTTCACCGAGGGACACCCTGCAAAAAGAGTCCCTGAGGAACCTGGGGAAGCCTCCGGCTGTCTCTCCCACGCCGGAAGAGTCCGGCCCTTCTGCTGCACCAGAGGCAGGCAGCAGCATCCCCAGCTCCTCCTGGGTTCAGGACGGTTCTGGTTCTGATTCTGCCTTTCCCTTGGGAAGATCTTGGGTTTGGGTCTGGCCTTGTTGGACACACTGCAACGCTAAGAGGAACCAAGGTCTGATCTTGGCTTGAAGCTGCTTCCTAGATACTGACAACAGCTCCTCCCTCACCTTCCCAGACCCTGGACCTGTCCCCTTCCAGCCTTGCCTTCACCTTCAGGTGAAGATACCTTGTTCCAAAGATAATTATTAAGTGCCCACTGAAGTCACTGGGGGTCAACCAAGATGCCTTCCATTTAAGAATAAATCCCACTGGAAGTTTTTGGAAGCGTTCAAGATGTACTTTCAGTCCCTCCCCGCCCCCCCCCAAGGCTGGCCCTATCTGGACTCACTCACTAGATCCACTGCTCTTTGGCCCTTTACTCCTAACATCTGGTCCCCAAACCTAGTGACCCTCACCCAGATGCAAAAACTTCAACCAACCTGAATTGGGTGACATTCTTCAGGTCAACCAGCTTCCTGAGTCCATCCAAGTGAACGCCACTCCCCCTCAGGTCTAAGGAGAAGCTCTTGGAGGACCTCCTCAAGAGAGAGTGCAGGACACTGACATCAGGCGGGGTGAGGGGAAAGCCCAAGAAAGAGAGGTCTGGGCTGAGCTCCAGGCTCAAATGGTTCAAGAGGTATTGATCTTCTGTTTCATGGACACAATGGAGAAGCTCCAACAATTTGTCCGGACTGAAATCCCTAATGGAAAGTTTCCTGATGTATCGCGAGAGACTTCTCTGCTTCTTGGTGATCATCTTCTCCGTATCTAACTCACCTTCCTTGCCAGAAAGGAGGCAACTGCCGAGGCCATCCTTTAAGAACAGTAACCCAGACAGGAAACGGGGCACCAGGCCCCACGAAGAGAGAAATTTCCTGAACCTGGTCCCCAGACCAACGTATTTGGTGAGTTTTTTGCCCTTGACCTCTTTAGCAAGAGTCAGATGCAGGGCCGTCAGGAAATCCTGGACCCCAAAGTTGGGGAACACATATACATCCCCCTCCTCCACCAGGAGCCCGGTTTTCAGAGCAAACTCCTTTACACCCGTGGAAGGGAACTGCTCGCTCGAGAGGGCCTTTTGGCAACGCTGCCCAAGAGACCAAGAGACCTCAGCCAAGGCAGCGATGCCCTGGTATCTCGAGGCCGTGTCGTTTGCCGTGGAACGTGCCAACCTCTGGAGAAGGTAGGTGAGGAAGAGGCCGGTGAGTGTGGAGGGCAGCTCTTGACCTCCTGCTTCAAACACAGCCTGGCAAATGACCCTGCAGAGGCCAGGATTGCAACAGTGGCCGAACAGGAAAGGAGAGGCCTTGATCAGGCTCGCCTTCTGCTCCCAGTGGGAGGAGCCCTCCACAGAGCGAGCGAGGTAGAGAGAGGCCTGCTCCACGGAGAAGCCCACCAGCTCCAGGACCGTGTCCACGCGAGGGAAATACTGGGGGAGCCGTTCTTTGGGCCGTCCCGTCAATAACAAAGTGCAGCCGTTGAGCAGCTTCTTTTGGAAGAGGGAGGCCAGGATGGTGCCGAGGCCAGAGGCTGCCCTGCAGGAAGGGCTCCCCGAAGCAGATGGGAAGCCCCCGGGACTCCTCAGGTCTCCCACGCCATCAAAGAGGAGGAGGACCCTCTCTGGGTTCTGCAACAGGCTCTCGTAGACTTCATCGAGGCCCTCGCGGGAGCCCCCCAGGGAGTCCGAGAGCAGGGACTTGAAGTCACGGTAGGTCCCGTGGAGCAGGCTCAGCCTCCAGCAGTCGAATCGGAAAACAAAGTCAAACTGGGCCATCTGGCCATTGGCCCAGTCCAGGCAGATCTTCTGGACCAGGAGACTTTTCCCCGTGCCCGCCTTCCCCAAGACCACGATAACTCGGCTGTCCAGGTCATTTCTCCTGGTCATCTGGAACAACCTGCTTCTCTCCACGGAGGCCTCCCACTTCTCTCCTAGGTGGCAGCGCCTCAGATCCGCGCTCCTCCCGCTCCTGCCATCCAGGTGATGCTGCAACAAGTCCCTCTCGAGATAAAGATGTCCCAGGGGCTGCCCAGGGGCCGGGTGGCATTCTCTGCCAAAATGGTCCTTCAGGCGTTTGCAGAAAGCCCTGGCCAACTCTAGGAAAGGGGGACAGGGAGATGATCAAGACCCATCTAGTGGACAGGGAAGATAGCCGGCCCCTTTAAGGATTTCGAGATTCCAGAATCCTGTCTTTGCTTCGAAGGTCTCCCCCTCTTGTGACCCCCAAGATATCCCTGCAAGGGAGCTGGGCTGAGATCAGGAAAGGGCCCCAGGGGAGGGGAGCCCCTCGGCTGAGCAAGCAACCCCTTTGCCAGGCCAGAATGGGCAGGCCCAGCCGGAGGAATTTGTTCAAGACTTAGGAGGACCAGGACGTCCGGGCTTGTTCAACAAACCATGGTTTAATTCAAGGGATTTCCTCCATTGAAAAGAGCTGAAAGTGGCCTCCATGGCGCCCCCTTGTTTATTTTGCTCCACAACAACTCTGGGTGGTAAATGGGGCTGGGGGAGGAGTGGCCCAGAGTCCCCAGGCTGGAAATAGATTCGTCTGCACCGTGACTCATAAATCTAGCTTAGGTGATCCCACCAAGATCCTTCATAGTTTTTTCAATGATGCTTCAATCTATTGGTGGACTCAGGACTGGCACAAAAGGGGGCACCTGGTGCTCAGCAAGGCCTTGGGAATCCCACACCCTTCACCTATCAATACAGAAGTGGCACTCAAAAGAGGCAGTTGGGCACCCCCTGCAGAAAACGGATTGGGGAGCGAGGACCTCCATCGAGACCACTCCGAAGTGTATCCACTCCGGCCTCTACAAGCGCTGCTACTCCTGGGCACAGCTTTCTCCAGGACAGGCTGCTCTGAGGACTTCAGCTTTGGGTCTTGCCAGGTGCTGTGGAGGTCCTGAGACCCAGCTCTCTTGGGGTCAGCTGGAGGGAAGGCCGAATGAGGAAGTCACCTGGGGAAGCTGGGGTACCCGGGGGCAAGCAGGGCGGCTGGGCATTTTCAAAGGCGAAGATCATCTGGATGTTGCTCCTATGGCCTGGGATGCACCACAGCTCCCGATTTGCAGAGGACCCTGGAAGAGGGAGAGGAGGGGGTTGGCTTGCACCCCTCCCTCCCTCCCTCCTTCCAGCAGACAAAGGAGGAACTGAGGCCCAGCCAGAGTCACCCGGGGATCCTGGCAGAGCCAGTCCAGAGCCAGGATCTCTGGAGGGGCTTTCGTGTACCAAAGACTTCTGGAGATCCCCCGGCAGGGCCCATGGTGGCCACCAAAATTTGAAGGTGGAAGTCAGGTGGAGCGTCGGTGCCGTCCTGGCCAGGGTTCAGGGCGATGGTGAGGGGGTCCCCGCTCACAATGCACAGAGCCGGTGGGTGGGCTGTCGAAGAAAAGGAAAATTGCCCAGCCTTCCCCAAAGGCAGGCAAGGTGGGCTCCGTCCCCTCCCTCCTTCCCTCCCCCAGGCAGAGGGAGCAGAAGGTGGAGCAGGGAGGCGAAGGGGGGAGGCCCCTGGAGACCCCCTCCTCCACTCGGCAGCGCCAAACATTTGAAGTTTCATGTTTCATTTCCCTGATGCCTTCAGATGCGCAGGACATCCAAGCCAATGGCCGGGGATGATGGGAGTTGTAGCCTCAGGCTTGGGGAAAGGCTGTTTTGCAACCCCAGATGGCTTGCCATCTTGCTGGGAGGGGAACGCCTGGAGGGCGAAGGCAGGAGTAGCGAGGGCATCCAGGAAAGCCCCGGCAGGAGAGGGGAGAAGACCCGGAGGGAAAGGGAACAGGGCGAAGTGGGGGCCTTTGTGGGGGCCCTTCCAAGAGGGGAAGGGGCTTGGGGATGGGCCCCGATCTCTGCACACCCTGGTTACTAAAAGAGAAGCTGCCCCTGAGGGAGCAGCCCACTCACCCAGCCTCTGGCGCTTGGCTTCGGGCGCGTCCGAGGAAGGGCCTGCAGGGGGAGAAACGCCAGGTGAAGCCTTGTCTCTGCTGATGCCCTTCTTCGGGCAGGTGGGCTTCACTGCCTCGGGCCCTTCACAAGGGTCCCTGCAGCCCCACTCGACCCGTCTCCAGGAGGGGAGGATCTGTCATCCCCTGAACTGGAACCCACCTCCCTCTTAACCTCGCCCCTGGAACCTCTGGAGAGCTGGACTGGGTCAGGCCCCCCTGAGCTGCCCCCGGAAGCCCTCCTGCCTCCGGCTCCCTCACCTACCCTGGAGTTTGGCCTCTGCGCAGCCCCCGGGCCCTTCCGCAGCCCCCACCTGCCAAAAGAGGCTGCCTGGTGGGGAAGAGAAAGCGAGAGAGGACTATTAGCATGGGGGGAGGGAATGATAAGGGGGGGGCACGATTTCAGTGCAAGAGGGAGGGCAGGGGGGTTGCAATGCCAGGCTCAGACATCCCAGGATTAACCAAAGCCCAAGGAGCCAGTTCTCATGAAGGACAGGAGGGAAGGAAGAGCCAGATGGGCACGGGGCTCTTTGCCCAGAGTGGCTCTCCTGCTCAGGTGGAGCCACTTTTCTGCCCCCCAATAGGCCCCATCCTGACCAGGGGAAGGCCGGACCCCTCCTGGGGGGCCTGAACGTGGCCCCTGGAAGCAAAGCAGGGAAGCTCACCAAAAGGCTCCTCCACTGGGGTGTCTTGCTGGTCTTTCAGCAAATATTCAGCCAGGGCAGCTAAAGATGGGGTGGAGGGGGGACATGGCATGAAACGTCAGGCACCACACATCCTTTCCAAAGTGCAACCCCCCCATCAAAGAGCGGACATTGTGCCAACCCCTTAAATTCGGCTACAGGAGGGGAGGGGCCCTTTGCTGCCATGGAGGGGGGGTCTGAGGTGCCCTCCTGCCCTGCCGGCACCCCAATGTCCTCAGCTGGGCATCCCAGGGGGCCCCTTTGGGCAGTCGGGCTCCTGGGTCTGCTGGGGTTGCTGCCCTGACTGGCCACGCAGAGCGAAGGACGGGCACCTGCTCCTCCCAAAGGCCTTTGTGCTCCAGCCCCTCCGGGGTTGCCCCTGCCAGCCCCCCCCGCCTTCTCGGGTCCTGGGCTGTGACACAGAGGAGGGCACCACGATTGCTCGGATGGGCTTCTCCGCCTGTGCCCTCGTGCCGCTGACCCTCAAGAGGGGACCCACCGATTTTGTCATAGGCCTCCCCCATATCGGAGCAGAGGCAGACGACTTCTCCGCTCTCGTCCCTCTCCACCGTGTAAAACACCTCGGGGTTGTCTTGATCCTCACTGGTCACCTCAGAAGCTTGAACTTGGGGGGGGGGAGAGAAGATGCCATTTGTGAATCAAAGGGAGCCCTTCTCTCGAGGTCTGCCCCATAGAGGCTGGCCTCCCCCTTTAAAGCGCCCTGCCCTCCGTAGAGACAGGCTGCCCTCCCAGGAAACCGAGCACCTGAATGATGGAGGGAGTGCGAGAGGCTGGCCGCCACGGGGAGAATCTGCTGGGAAGGGAGACCACCAGGAGATGTCAGATCTGGGAGTTAAACCAGGAGGTGGGCTATTCCAGCTCTCCTCTTTTCCCGTCTGCCCATCCAAGGGCTACACCCCCTGGGAATTCTGAGTCACAGCTCAGCCAGGTGGGGGAGGGCTGCCTGGAACCCAGCTCCATGAAACAAGCAAGAGACCGAGAAGGGGAAGGGGAAGGGGAAGGGGAAGGAGGAGGAGGAGGAGGAAAGGGAAGGGAAGGAAAAGAAAGCTAGGGTCAAGCACTTAAGCTAGGGTCAAGCACCTGCAGGTGCTTCAGCCATCTCTTCCATCAATGCCAGGTGGGTTTCGCTCTGCAGGCAGTGGGTCTCTGGTGGGATCCCTTCAGGGCTCACATCATCTGATACAGAAATAGCAGGAAGAAAAACATGGATGAAGCTCTTAAAAAGGTGAAATAACGGACTGTCAGTCTCTTGTCTTGGGCTGCTTTAAGGTGGGGGGGGGGCTTTGGGGAGAAATAATTAAATGCCTGTTTTCTCTTCCTAACTTTTATGTCTGGATTCGCTTTACAAAGATCGGGAGAGAAGACGCTCTGAAGGAAAGTGACATTTTGGGGGATTTTTGTGCAAAAAGGGGACCAGGACATAGGTCTCTGGCTGATCCAGACTTTGCTTTATTGGGGTTTACTGAATAAACCACAATTAGATAGCTGGCTTCCCAATGAAGCACTAAGCTATAGTACACAGTTTACAATCTGGCTGGGATCAAAGCAGCAGTTTAGGGACCCACAGCTTAAAAACATGTGACTGACCTGCAAAATGCAACTTTTCTACACTCCTTTTTTTTTACCCTGAATGGTTCAAAGGAGATTTCACAGCTGCCTTCACAAAAGGAGAACAGAAAGTGGGGCTCAGATCTTCTGCCTTCTATAAATATTCACGAGGGGGAGGGAGGAGAGGGGGGGACTCCAGCTTAGCTCAAACAGGGCAAGAAAACATCTCATCTTCTTGGAAGACCTGCCCACCCCCGCAAAAAAGGAGAGCTGTGTCACTTGCAGCAATTCAAAAGTTCCCCTGTTGCACTGATGGATTTGTGACTGCAGTCTCTGGCACTTGACACGAGGATGGGGTGAAGAACGGGAGGTCCACCCCTTCCCTCCTGGAAAGGCACAGGAGGAGGAGAGGCCGGTGGGCAGCCGGGAGCTTCTTTCAAACCCTCAGGCTGAGTCTGGCCAAGCTTGGCCACAGTCAAAAGGGTTTGGCTCCTGGTCAGCTGCACCAGCCCAGCCTTGATCCACCCCGAACGCCTGAACTGAAAAGTGGATCACATCTTCCCAATTGCCTTCCTTTAAAAAAAACCCGTCTCGCTGCACCTTCTTTTCTGCACACACAGAACAGGGACTCAACCGGAGGCCAGAGCTGCAAGACCCCACCCTGCAATACTCTGCATTTAACAGGGGAGGGGGCTGCCCCCTTCTGCCCTCCTCCCTGAGAATCTGGCGGCAGGGCCAGCTTGCCTGTTTACCTCTCCAGAGTCATTAACTTTCTTCCGGCACAAGCAACACCAGCAACTAAGCTTGCCGGCATCGATCAACAAGCGGGGGGGGGGGTGTCTTGCCACAGCCCCTTTCTCACACGCTGGGTGGTGAAGGAGGCGTGTGGACCAGCAGAGGATCAGGAAGCCAGAAGCAGAGAAATGGGATTCTCAGGGTGAGAGAGGTTAAAAAACCAACCTTGAGGGAAACATTCAAGCTGTCCTTTCTGCAAAAAGGCTGGGGTGGTGAGCTCTGGATTTTGACCCATCCTGGATGCCTCTGGGCAAAGTGGCCAGGCTGCCGGTCCCGTTGTCTTGCTGCAGGTGAATGCCCACAAAGGGTGGGAAAACCCTGGCATGGGCGTGAGGAGGAATTCCCCTCTGATTCTGTTTCAAAACTAATCTATGGGGAGCTTCCAAGGTTGGCAACTCCCTTCCCTGATCCTGACCTTCTCTGAAAACAGGTGCTCGCCTGGCTAACAGCCTGGTTTCTACTCTGCTCAACCACCCTCCCTGCAGGGCCCGGATACCTACCGTCCAGGTGTCCACACACACTACTTCGGGCTCCTCGTGTGGAAAGGAAGGCAGCCTGCTCCTCCCCATGTGCTCCTCGCTTGCTTTCTGACACACGGGATCAGAAGTGAAAGTGGTGTGCTTGTTTCATTTTCTCCTCTCTCTGGCTGAAGGTTCCACCAGGTCCACCACTTACCTCTTTGTGCTCCTCCCACCCTCGGTGCCTCCACCCAGGGCAGTTTTGCCTCCCCCAGGGGGCCAGTGTGAGCGCTGGCACCAACACGGCTGCACGGGTATCAATGCACAGGAGAGACCGGAGGCGGCAAGGGCTGAGCTGGGAGCCAGAAGTCAGCCCAGACCATCTCGCAGGCCACTGCTGTGCGGCCCAAAAGTCCCGTCCAGCCCCCGGAGGACAGGCGGAAGGTCAGTGAAATAGGGCTGGTGAGGTGGATGAGGGAATTAGCTGGAGCTCTGGACTGCAATTCCCATCATCCTGAGAGGCTGCAGTGGTTACCAGGACTGTTGTCCAGCACCTTTGGCTGTAGGTTCCTTTCTCCAATTAATATTTTTTTAATGGTTCCAAAATTTTAAAATGTCCTATTTGTGATATTACATTGAAAATCAACAGTATTTAAATTTTAGGTCCCAACAGAAACATAGGTCAAAAAGGCAGTTGGCAAAACGGATGGAAANATTATTATTATTATTATTATTAATTTAATTTATATCCCGCCCTTCTCCTTACGGACTCAGGGCGGCTAACAACCAGATAAAACACTAATCCCCAAAAACTACAATTTAAAAACATAAGTAAAAACAAATATTAGTAATTTGGTCAAGTTAATATAAAATTGCTTTAAGACCCCATTAAAATTTTCCCCTAGGCCAGTCCTGCAAGCTGGAATAACCAAGTCTTAAGGGCGCGGCGGAAGGAAGGGAGATCAGGGATCACCCTGATCTCTGGGGGCAGCTCATTCCAGAGGGTGGGAGCTCCCACAGAGAAGGCCCTCCCCCTTGGGGTCGCCAGCCGGCACTGTCTGGCCGACGGCACCCTTAGTGTTTATTGATTTTTGAATTAAATTAAATGTAATGTTAGGTCTAAATACCTACTTATCTATTTGTAAGGCAAATCAGTGAAATTATCCAACTGACCAGGAAGAAGGTATTCCTCAGAGAACGAGTTTGGATGAACCTTAATTAACTATTTCCTTCCCACAAACGCTGACAAATACAGTGCGTAGAGAATCATACGATATTAACCAAGCTTACCAGTCAAGTTTCTAGTCCTCAGTGAGACAGCTCCATTCTTAGCATTTTCTCTAGAATTGCCAGAAAGCTGTAAGCCAGAGAGACGGGTGGAATCTGACTGCTTGGCTTGTTTTCCAAGCAAGGTCAGAGCAATCTTCCTTGCTAAATCATCAGCGTCCTTTTCATAAAGTAACGTCTGATAGTATTCCTTTGATGTAATTCCATCCCTCAGCATGGAGTCCAGCAAAGCTTGAATCTGCGGGGCTGAAGCAGTTGATAAAATCTCCCTAACTTCTGGTAAGATTTGCTTGAAAATATCCATTTTGGCAGCAGAAGCGCTTGGATTTCTCCAAATTATTTATGCTGCACTTCCCTGTCTTTATACAGGCATTTATATGGCAAACTCATCTTAACAGGGTTCCAAAAAGATGAAGTGAAAAAAAGAAAACTAACAGTGTCTTTGATTTGGGGGATCATCATTGCTATTTCCTCATTTCGCTGAACCTATGAGTGCATCTTCCAAAGATGCAGTCTCGCCTATTTTTATTACTTCTAAAAAAACAATCTTAGCAATAATTGATCGGCCGCTTGGACACTTGCTTGGTTGCAGTTAATAGCAAAACTGTACATTGCAGGTGTTTGGGGTTTTTTTTTTGGAAAATCCCCCAAGAGTGGGAAATTCACCCAAACCGTTGCTAGATTAGTCAGATGAAGACTTTGTTCAGAGGGGCTGTGCCCCAGAGCCCAGCTTGTGAAGTTACACCTTTAATTTTATGTACTTAGCTGCAGAAACGTTTTGCAAACTGTTTTTGGACCCTCCTTGGATGTGCACTCCAACAGCAGAGTGGTGGGTGTTTTTCCCCCTCCCCTTAAATCTCCCCCCCCCCAAGAGACTACAGACTTGCAGCAGCCCGTTCCTAGGCGGGGGTGTCCGGGCAGAGACCCCATGGGGTTCGGGGGCCGTTCCGCCCTGTGGGGGAAAACGGTTGAACCGGGGCGAGGCTGACGGGAGCTCAGCGACGCTTCTGCTGGGGACTTTCACGTCGCTTCTGCTGGGCGGGGAGGGACAGAGCAGCGCGGAGACCGCCTGGGCCTTTAGCCCGGGATAAAGAGCTTCCCCTTGGCCAGCCTTGGCTCGCAGTTGCTCAAGCTTGGGGCACACCCCCATGTTCCAGGGGTCCCTCCCGACCCAAAGCAGGCAGGGCAGCTCAACAGCGCCCAGGGCAGGGAGGGGGAAATGGGGCTCGCGGTCCCCGGCTCTCCTGGGGGCTCTCCGGCAGCCTCACTCGCAGTCGCGACCCCCCCCTCTGGGTTCACCTGCGACCACCGGGTACGGGAGGCTCCTGGGGGCGGCCACCGCATCTCCCCGGGGCGCTTCCGTCTCAGAGGGCCCCGGGCAGCCGGGCGGCGCTTGGCCAGCGAAGGCATCTCCTGCAAGGTGAACCTGCGGGCGCGTCTCCTAACAACGCGGGGAAATTCCGGTTGCTCCGCTAAGCAAACGCACGCCAGGTGCAAACAGTCTGCCTCCTTTACAGAGCTTGGGGGGGGGCTGGGGGGGCTGGGGGGCCCGGGAGCCCCCCCCTTCCCCCTCGCGTCCGAGTTTTCTGCTGCGGAGTTCCAGGCTGAGCTCTGCACTCTGGGCTGGGTTTCAGTTGGGCAATGTTGCATGAGCTCCTTGGCTGCCATTCACTCCGGCTGCTTTGCTATCGAGGAAGAACCCGGCGGGCAGAAAGGAAAGTTAAGTGGGAAACCTCCGGAACAGGGCGAGGGTGGGCATCGGCACTGTCCCGGAATTGGGGGCCCTGAAAGACCGGCCCAGACCGGGGACTTTGGCCGTCGCCCTGGAGCTGCCCGGTGCCCAGAAGCAGGCGGTCTCTGGGCCAACCTGCCCCTCGCTGCCTGGGCAGCAGCATCCCTGCTCCAGTCGCCATAGCGACGGCCAGGAGGAGGCAGGATGTTGGGTGGATCCGGCTCACATCCGCAGAGGCCAGAGGAGGAAGAGGAGGAGACGGAGCCAAGAAGATGAAGCAGGTGGGGGAGAAGGGGCCGAAGGGGAGGAAAAACTGAGTATTATGGGCTGGCTTTGGACCAGCAGGATGCATGAGGCTGGGTATACAGCAGGGAGAGAGAATTCCCTGCACAAAGCGGGTCTGGGAGAGTCCTTGACACTGAGTGCAGAAACAGGGCAAAAGAGACAAGGTGGCAGTCAGATCTGGGAGCAGCTTATTTTGAACAGAATCCATTTTCTGGAGGGAGGCCTTGAGTATCGGGGCGTGTGCGTGTGTGGGGTTTCTGGAAAACAGAGGGAGGGAGGCAGGAGGAGTGACTCAATCCTTCAGTCAAAACAGAGGCTCCATGCTTTCCCAGACCCGGAAGAGAGGCACCTCCACGCAGGTAGGCAGCCAGCTGGCACGGGCGAGGCCTGGCACGAAAAGAGGAAGCAACAGCAGGTGGGAAAATCCATGGTAGGGTTGGAGCAGGAGGGGCTCAGGGTTCAGGAGAAAGGGGGGGGGTAGAGCTCTGCTCTTTGGGGAGAGAAAGAGGGTCTCCAGGAGTAGCTTTCAAGGGATTCATTACGCTTTGCCGTTGGTGCCCTTCTGAGCTTGTGTGGATGTGATGCTCATGCAGGATTCATCTTTTTCAGAGCTTAGCAGATGACACGGAAGACGTGTCCCTCGACTTTGGGAATGAAGAGGAGCTGGCCTTAAGGAAGGCAAAAGTCAGGTAAGGAGGGGTCACAGGGTGCCTCTCCCAACAGCGCCCCATGGCCTTCTGCAGCTCCTGTCAGTTTCATAAACAGACCTGTTTTTTATGCACGATGCATGTGCACGCACACACACACACACACACACAAGCTTCTGAGTTTCTGCTTCACTAATTGTGGTTGTTTTTTTCTGCTCAGTTGAATTTAGGGCTTATTTGTTAAACAGCTTGTTGGAATTCTTTATTTTGTAACTGCATGGCACTGCTGTTCTTATGGAAGCTAACCCTTTGGTATGTATTTCTGCCATTTACTGAGCACACTTGCCAAATGAATTGGCTGCCCATAATCACTGAGAACTGGGCGGCACACAGGTTTACGGTTGTTCCTGTAATTATTTAAGTGTAGTCTAAATGTCTTGGATTTGCTTTTAAAATTGTTTGATTAAAGATTATGACCTTTGCTGTTTGGGTCCAGAACTATCCAAAAGAGGCTTCTTTATTGAAATTCAAATAAAATATTTTGCCTTGCTGTTCTCATGCCTACTGTTGCCAGGTAGGTAAATATTAGATCATCCCGTGAGGTCCCAGACGTCCTTGGAATTGGTCTAACTGTAAACAAGTCACCTTTGTTCTCATTCTTACTAATGTAAGCACAACCTGCAGTGCTGGCTCGCTCTTGCAGCAGATGGAACTTCACTGGGAAGTCAGTGCGCCAATGCCCAGCCAGACCTCCCTGGCCTTGGCCCTCACCCAGGGAGCCCGGAGCAGCAACGGAATCCTGTGTTAACCAAATGTTTAAAGCAGGGGCCCCCGACCTTGGCAACCCTTAAGATTTGTGGATTTCAACTTCCAGAGTTCTGGGGGGTTCCTTCCCAGGTACCCGCTGGCCACCTTTTTCCACCTCTTCTTCCGTGTGAGCGCCATCATGACCTACCTCATCTGCGACTGGTTCAGCAAAAGCTTCATCGCCTGCTTCCTCGTCATCCTCCTCCTCCTCTCCTTTGACTTCTGGTCTGTGAAGGTAGGCCTTCTTTTGGCCTCCCCCCAAGAGGCCCTGCTGGGTCACCCTTGCTCCGCTGGGCCCTTGTTGGCAGGCTGGTAAAAGGGGTATTGAGGAAGCAAACATTGTATTTGCTTTATTGGGCATGGCTTTGTTGTTTAACAGGTGCCAATTATGGAAAAGGCACTTTCTTCTCCTAGATAAAAAGGGAGGAGGTGGAAGATGGTGCTTTGGGCATCACCAGCAGTCTAGGTCAGGATCAGGCCATTGGAGAAATTAATTGAAAGGCCATAGTTGCAGCAAATGCAAAAAAGGAGGCTTCTCCTTCCATAGCTTTCCAACCCAGTGCATGCCAGGCCGTCAGCTCCCTTATCACCAGCCGGCCCTCGACCAAGCAGTCTGATGGGCGAGTCACGATGGGCTTCTCTAAATTATGGCACAGGGAAATGGAGAGATGCTGGTTCTCCTGTACCCAACCTGGTTTAGCTGAGATGCAAGGGCCTCCTACATTTCTGCAGTTCAAGAAATCCCCCAAATTCACATCTTTGTTCAATGCATTGTTTTTTATCTGTCCCATCAGAATGTCACCGGAAGGCTGCTGGTTGGTTTGCGATGGTGGAATCAGATCGACGAGGATGGGAAGAGCCACTGGGTGTTCGAAGCAAAGAAGGTAGTCCTTAACCGTATTTTTTCTCTCCAACCTGTGAACCTTTTGGTCCATTTATGAAGTGGAGCCATTTGAACTGCCTCAGGGTGGACCCGAGCATCTCCTTTCCAGGCTGAGGGCAGCAGGTCAGAACGCAACCCTCATAACCTCCGGCTAACATCACGATGGCTGGGAACGAGGGAATTTGTAATTTCTGATCTTGAAAAGGTGGAGGTCTGAAAGCTTTGTGCACTGTGCAGCGCCTACATTTCAAAGAGCTTCATAAATTGTTTTATTTATTCTCGTGGACCATATAAGCCCAATCAATATATCACATTTTAAGGAAGTCTGCTGCCTAGCATGAAGAAGTGAATCTGCTTTCTTAATATGAGACAGTATCTGTTCCCATTTCTGTTGAATGTTGCTTTGCAGAGATTTGAGCTGAAAACAACACCCACAACCGTGTACCTTAAAATAATTTGCTTTTCTCTTCTTTTAAGGGCTCCTCTGCTGTGGCCCCCCCCACTGAGGTCGAAGCCCGGATCTTCTGGCTCGGGCTGATCATCTGTCCCGTCATCTGGATCCTTTTCTTCTTCAGCACCTTGTTCTCTTTGAAGTTGAAATGGCTGGTAAGGGCTGGCAGCCCCCACCCTCCGCCAACAGGGCCCCCCGGGACTTAGCCAGTGTCAAGCGGCCTCAGAATGTGGCTTTTGCCTAGATGTTTCACAACCGCTGCTAGATACTTTGTGAATAGGCGGAGGTGGAGTAAAGCTTGCATCAGGGGCCTGTGTGGTGGAGGGCCTCCTTGGTGGGACCCAAAGCATTTCCTGAGTAAGGAGACAGGAAGAACTCGGCTCTCCTGAGCTTCTTCTGAGTGGCTTTGGCAGATTTCCTGAAGCTCTACTTTCAGCAAGAACTTGGCAGCCGTCGAGGGTAGAAATTTAAAAAGACCCTCCGGTTCTCAGGAACCCGAAACATCCTTGCGAAGATGCTTTGCACAATCTGAAGTCTGTAAGAGCCTGCCTTTCTGGAAGCCATCCTCATCCACCAGCCATCCCATTTATGCCAAGGGCTGCTCTCCCAGGTCCCAGGCCATGTCGGGGGTCTTTCTCAGTTTCCTGAAGCTTTCAAGTCATTAGAAATCTGCCTATCAGTCTGCTGCTCTTTGTGTTCCAGGCACTGGTGGTAACTGGCATCTGTCTCCAGACGGCTAACCTTTATGGCTATATCCACTGTAAACTAGGGGGAGCCCCCCAAACCATCCGCAAAGTCACCCCACGCTTCCCGGCACAGGAGATCTTCCAGAAGGTGAGCGGGAGAACCTCCTGTCCGACTTTGGGGGTGAAGCATAAATGGCCAAGACTGGAAATGCAGGTGGCTTTTTAAACACAGGGAACCGCTCAATCAATCCTGGCAATGGCAGGGGGGGAGGGAGGACTGTAACCGAGGCAGGTCTGAATTCACTCAGGGGGATCTGCTGCATCTGCAAACTGGCATTGGCTTGTTTCGATTTCCACCTCTTTGGCAACCAGCTTTGTTTTATTGCTCCGGCAGGGAGGATCAGAAGACTTTCAGAAAAACGCCCTGAAGCATCTGGGGACCCAAAGTCATTAGAACAGGGATGTCTGGAGAGTCCCCGGGGGACAGTTTCTGCGCTAAACACGCGACAGGCTGCATTTTGCTTCTTCAGAAGGGCCAACGCAGCACAATCAGCGGCAGCTTCCTCTTTGCTTCACACCCCACATGACGCTTTCCAGCGTTGCAGCCCATTCCCAGGAATCTGTTCTGGCCTTTCCTTCTGTTGGAGGCGGTGGCAGGCTGATGCTGAGCTCCAGGCTCTGATCCCCAAGAGGAATGTTGCTTCTCCGCTTGCGAGGCAGGCCTAGAAGCCTCTTCCTCCTCCTCCTCCCACTCCTTCGGCTGCGTTCCCTCGGAGCCTTTGGCGGCTCCCTGGCAATTTGGCCGGAGGCCTCCAGCAGGCTTGGCCCAGCCCAGAATCTGTTATGCGTCATTTCGGTATTTGTGGGTGGCTTTCCAGCAGGGACTGGGTGTGCCCATCACACATTTCTTTCTGCCCCCGTTCACCCATGGAGGACGCTGGGGGCACCAACCAGTCCTCCTCCTTGCCAATCTCTCCCTGGGGAGCAGCAAGGGGTACGAGAAGAGGGCCTCTGCCCACAGTCTTTGCCTTCTCCCTGCTTTCTGCAAGAACACTTGATCCAAAAAGATGAGGAAATGAAACAGCGATTCCCTCTGCTTAGAACTAGACAGACACCAACAGAGACAATGAGTTATATTTACTTATATTCTTAAAAAGAGCTAATATGGCACTACACCATATCGCTTGTGAACAGGACCCTGTCAGCACCACCCTTCTAAAACACCTGAAGAATAAGACTAAACCAAAATCTAAGGAACTGATTTTAAATAATCCTCAAACAGAGAAAGAAAGACTTTTTGTTTTTCTCAATAAAAGCAACCTCTGAACTTGTCTCTAGTGGCTGATTTCACTAGTGAAGATAATTATTAAGGGAATTTATCAAATCACGATAAGCAGATCTGCTTCTAGGAACAAAACACAGCCTGTTTTGGAAAATTTAGATAGGCTTTCCTCAGAAAAGCATCTCTGATTGGCAAGTATTATTCAAAGGTATTTATTTGCATGTACATGTTTGTCCACCTATATAGATATATGCACAAAAGATCCACATTTATCTGCTACTCAAATCCTGTCTTCTTCCTGTGGGGAGTTCTGGTTACAGTAGTCCTGGATTCCTGCAAAAAGACCCAAAGTAAGAACGGGACTCAGGACCCGTGATGCCTCCCTCTATGGCTGGCTTCCAGCCAGGGGCACGAAGGCCACCAGGTGGCTCTTGGGTGGCCTGGGAGGCCACTATTACTCAAAGGAGTGGCCTGTGGCTGAAAATGTGTCCGTGAGCCACAGAGATTTGCTCTCCGAAACCATGTAAAGAGAGGATGGCCTCAGGTGCCTGGAGAAAGCCCCCAAAGGCAGGACTCACTTTGGATAATGTTCCTGAAAGACAGTGTGGCTGCAGAGTGGGGCGCTTCGGCTAAGAAAGAGTGGCCTCTGTCACAACTTTTTCCTGCTCGAGGAAAGGAGAAAAGGGAAGATGCAAATTCAGTGAAATGGCCCAAAAAGAGAAATGCAAACGTCTCTCCCCAGTTCCCCCCAGGATGCCTCATCCACTTTGAGGAACAGAGATTCTCGCTGCCCATCTGCTCTGTTTGGCAGCCAGTCAGAACAAACATTCAAGTCTTCTGAATTTCACCAAAGCTCGTGAGCATTTGAGCAAAAGCGCACCCATAGGTTACCTTACCTATTTGAGGGTCGAGAGGCATTTTCCCCAGGAGAGGCACGTTTAAGGTGCGGCACATCATCTCTGCACCCCCCGTGCTGGGAGGGAATATTTGGGATTCTTTCTGCAAAAGGGGAAACTGTCACACAGGCTCTGAGATGCACCAGAAAGGAGGAACCTGGATGTCTGTGCCACGGAGAGGCCTCTTCCGCTGCAGCCCAGAGCAGGGAAGCTGAACCGGCAGCCCCCTTCTAGGGAGGGAGTTGCTTAAAAGTGATTAAAAGAGATGTAACGATACCTTGCATTTTGGGCATGTGAAGCTGCTCATATTTTCCACCACTCCAATGACAGGCAGCTTCACCTTATGGCAGAAGCTGACCTCTTTCCGAACATCCTGAAGCGCCACTTCCTACGTGAAAGGAAACACTCTAGCTGAAAACGAATTCAGATCTCCCGCGATAAAAAAACCGCCCTTGAAGAGAAAAAGTGGCCCAACGACCCCACTGCCCTTAAGTTTTGGCCCAGGGCTGCTGCAAGCACTGCTGGGGGAACCCACACCTGGATACCTCCCTGCCTCTTCTGCTCTTCCCCTTCTCATGTGACCTCCTCTCCCAAACCCGTTCTCAAGGTTGTTTCTGCAATTCTGGCCCTATCTACCCACTCTCCTTCGAAACTGGTTCATTCACATCCTGCTCCAATTGTGCTTCCCACTTACCTTTAAGGAAAAAATGGGGGCAGCCGTGGGGTTTTAATCAGAAGGTTGTGCTGATTAAAGTAAAGGCTTATTTCCTGCAGTGGGCATCTGGCAGTGCTCGCCTGCAGGTTGACAGCCCGACCGAAGGGCCGCTTTAGTTCCGTTAACTGGCGTTCCATATCTTACCTGTGGGGTGGTGATGATCACAGCCCCATCGACTCCGGCAGTGCTGAGATACTGGACTATGGATATATGTTCATCTGATGTTCCTGGAGGGGTATCTACAATCAGGTAGTCAATTTCACCCCAATCTACATCCCGAAGAAACTGCTTAATCATCCCTAAAAATAATAATAAAAAAATAAATAAAGGGAGAAACTGGATGCTGGGGGTGGGGGGCTAAAAATATCCCAATTGCCCACATCAAATGTGTCTTTGTGCTGCAATATATTTTTCTTAATATATTTTCACATGGCCATCAGACAAAAATAATTATCAACTAGTTATCAAGCGCTAATTAGAGTTAGTTTAATTTTAACTAAACTTGTGGAAGTTCCAGAAGTAAGAAGCAACTGCCATCCAGATGTAAATCAGCAGCTCACATCCTCTGCAGGGACCAAGAGATACAAACCGTTTTTTTTCGGTCCTCTCCAAATAACGGCATCATCAGGGCTGCTCAGCAGAAACCCCACTGACATCACACCCAGGTTTTCTTCAACATACTAGAAGACAGAAGCACACACACAACTGTCAAAACAAAAAAACTACAAATATATTATTATTTATGCGTATGAAACAGCTATAGCCTTATCACTCCTAGAGTTCACACAGAGATCAAGTAACTCTGTATCTAGGCCAAACTTTTTCAGAAACTAAATAAATCTGTACACAGTCAGTAAACTACGTAATATAGGGGGCTTCAGCACCAAAATAGGGGAATATGGGGGAGGGCATGTAATGCTTGCTTTTTTATTATTATTGAAATGTAGTTCCTAATTTCTTGTGACTGGAAATAGCAATCAGCAGAAAAGACCAGAGTTCTCATACAGTTTATTAAGAAATAGCAGCAGCAACTCACCACTGGAGACCAGCCTGATCCGCTTTGATGAACCTGAAAAGAAGATTTCAAAATGTTAATATGTACATAAATAACACCCAGCATCACAATAATTTGCTATTGCTCTAAATTTGTAATTCAAAGTGACAGGTGATCTATGGTGATAATATCCATGTAATTAGAAAAAAAATCAGTACATAAATACTCCAAGGCTAGATATTGGTAAGAGATTGACAATCAACAAGCATCACCCCAATCAGGGAGAGGAGCTGGGCACCCTATTTTAGAAACATGCAAGTTTGCTACAACAGAATTTTCTGTTTTGGGATAGATCTTTTAAGTACATCTTATTATTAGATTCCAAAACACCAGTGCCCACTTTGCAGAACCACTAAACCAAAAATAAAAAGAGTGTCCAGGTTACTTTACTTTTATCTAGAAAGCTGCATTTTAAAAAGGGCTGCAGGGCAGAAGCACTGACATCCTGAATCAGAGAGCAACACAAAGAACCGTTTCTGACATACAAAGCCACACCTGTTCTCCCTCAAGGCCCATGATTTTTGGAATGGATGGTCCACAAATATCAATGTCCAGCACAGCAACCTGGAGTGGGAAGAGATCATCAGGATTTGCAATTTTACTTTCAAAGATACCACAAAAATATGTATGGGATTATTGCAACCTTTTCACTGATCATAGGGATGGCTCCAGGAAGGGACATAATAAAACAATTATTGCTTTATTTAAGAACTCAGGAAATCAGATTAAAAACAGCTTTCCATTATCACTCCTATTCGCCATCAAGCAACATTATTTATGTGTGGTCTTCCTCAGGAAGCCATCATGAGAAATTGCTTGCTCTTCCTCGTCTCCATTGTCAGGCCACCGTTTCAACAACCTGTGACGTGAAGTGCTATACAGAAGACCCTCACCTGTGTAGTGTCATCCTCTGCGAATCCGTGGGCCAAAAGAGCAGTGAATGTGCTCTTACCCACACCTCCTTTCCCAGAGAGCACCAGCAGCTTGTGCTTGACAGTTTTCATTTTTTCCTTAATTTCCTCAATGGCTTCAAGGAGGGGAAAACAACAGAAAAAGCTTTAATAAATAAAAGATATTTGTATCTGAAGATGGAGGGAGTCGGGTAGGATATGGAACATGGCCTTCCTCTCATGACTGAGTGGCCCGGCAAGAGGCCTAGCCCCCAGCCTGCCATTAAATCCCCCCCCCACCTGCAGTGGAAGGGAAATGCAAAAAAGCATTCTGAGAACCCCGCAAGCTGCCATCAGAGGCTTCCCCTCAAGACCGTTTCTCCAGGCTCCACGGCATAACGCACACATACCTGGGTCGGGGCCAGCAAGCTGCCCCAAGGAACACAAGCCCTGGTTGGGGCATCCTTGGCAAGCATCAGCCTTGCCTGCTTCATTGCTGCCGGTGCCCGGACAGTCTGGAGGGATATGAAAAAGGGGAATATTCACACTGGAGGAAGGCGAGGAGCCACAGGCCAGGGGGGTGGCCTCTTTTTAGTAGGTCAGCCCCCCGCGTCGGCCAGGCCAAGGCGGGCGCGGGGAGGGGTTCGGCCCGGCGACCCTCACCCCCGCCCGCTCACCGTGAGGCAGGGCGTCGAGGGAAAGCCCACTCCCCTCGGCCATCGCGGCGCCACTGCCGGAAGAAGTGCGGCACTTCCGGTCGAAGGAGGGACGCCAAAACGGCTCCGCCGCGGCGCACCGAAAGAATCCCTCCCCCGGAAAAAGGGAGCGGGCGATGCAGTTCCAGTTGGGGACCGGAGGGAGGCTGCGGGACGGGGCCGAGCCGCGGAGGGGGGAGCTGGCCCCTCTTTTCCGGCTTTGGTCCGGCCCCACAGCTGGGGAGAGTGCGCCCCCTCAGCGCCCCCAGCTCTTTGGCTTGGGGTCACTCAGGGGGGCAGGGAAGGTGGCGGCTGAGGCCTGACACCCCCCCCCCCAGATTAATGGACCTCATCTCCCAGAATTCCCCAGCCAGCATGCCGGCTGGGGAATTCTGGGGGTTAAAGTCCACCCATCCTCAGGTTGCCCAGCCTAAGAAAGCCTGGCTCAGGGCAAGCAGGGAGGCATTTTAAGCAGGCAGGGCAGGGCCTCTGGGGCCCTTTTGTGACACCAGCGCCAAGTCACAGTGCCAGGGCTGGGCTGCAGGGGCAGAGGCACCCCCCCCCACCAGGGCAGCTGAATTGCCTTTGGGCTTTGGGCTGCCAGGGAGGTTGGTGACTACCCTGGGCATTTGATGGAATTCCTGGGCACCACCCAGACGGCCAGCTACTGCGGACCGAAGAAGAGCTGCCTGCTGCCAGAGGTGACCCCCACCAGCCTCAGCCATGACAGCTACCAGGCTTACTACCTGCCAGGCTATCGCTACCTGAACTCATGGAGGCCCAGCCTCTTCTACAAGGTCTCTGCTTTCCGACCCAGCGATGAGGGGGCCGGTCGCCTCAGTGCCCCATTGCGTCCCCCGACCATCCTGCCCTCAGTGAGGTCGTCTCTCTATGCCCGCTACAGTCCCCACGACTGGTACAAAGCCAACGCCATGCAGATCAAAGGGTCGGAGGCCTACCGGCACTGGGCTGGGCGGCTGAACGCGGACAGTGCGCGGCTCATGCAAGACAAGGACCAGCTGACTTGGCAGCAGCAGGAGGATTCTGGGAAAAACCTCGGACAGAGGCTAGCCGACATCGATTTCTGGCGGTCCGAGCTGACCTATGAACTTGAGCGGCTGTTGCATGATACCCGTGCACTGGACACGGCCAAGCGGCGGCTGGAGTGTGCGGCTGATGAGGCCCAGGGGCCTTTACAGGCAAGTGGGGCACCCCCAGTGCTGTCAGGTTGCTATTAATGTGGGGTGCTGGAGAACTATAACATTCTCCTTTGCTGTAACACTGCAGCATCCTTTGAATGGCAGGCAAGCCCTTGGATGGATAGCAACATACTTTTTATTATTAAGCTATCCCTAAACTAGGCCATCAAGAGCCTCGCAAAGTGACAAGCAAGATAAAACAACCTGTGCTCTCTGCCAAAGGCGGTCTGCAGTGGAGGTACAGAGAAACACTCTTCCAAATTATAGATTCTGCCCTAGAAAAAGTCTCTCTGGCATTTGCTTCCATGAAGTATCTCAGAAGAAATAAAAAATGCTTAGGCAGATTGCTTCAGAAATGGCAATTCTTCTCTTTGTGTTAAAGGCCAGAACAGCAATTTCTTTCGAGCTCAGAAAGGAGGAGGAATCTGTGCCGAAGCTCTGGAAGCAGTGAGGTCTTCTCTGCTGGTGGCAGCACCAGCCTGACCTTGACCTAAAAGCTAAGCGGGGTTGTGCCCGGTTGGAAAACAAGTCATTGGGAGTCAAAGAAACTCTGGCTTCCCTCTCCGATCCAAGCACCGGAGACAGACTCCTTGTGTGTCCAGTCACACTTGGCCAATAAAGAATTCTATCTAGTCAGAATTCAGGCTGTATAATTTTATATGAGTTTATGTTTCTGAATGTAAGTAGGTAGAAGAGCTCCTATGGAGCCTTTTGGAAGCTTTGTCCGTGTGCCCAAGAATTATTTCTGTAATGTTAATGATATTGTTGGTGCCTTCTCACAAAATATCAGTTGTAGAAGAAAATGGTGAGAGTTCCACTTTCTTAAGTGAATATAGTGTAAAAAAGCACCAGGATTCAGAGAATGAAAGGGATTTTTTAAAAGTGTTATGCAGCCGTTAAGAGACATTAAGTGCGCTGCCCATGTCAGCTTTGCTGTGAGATTAAAACTGGCCATTAGGTGGCATATTAGCTTTTCTCTTCAAATCTGTTCAGGACGTAACATTGTTGATCCCAAAGCAGCCATAGCCAAAGTTGGCTTGAGGCAGGAGCTTCTCATCCTCTTCACCCACCCCCCTCTGCCCCCTTGCTTATCTTTGCTCATCCGTTGGAATGGGGGGGGGGACATGCTAGAGCTACCAGATTTTTGTCGCCAAAATCCAGACAACCACTAGAGGACAGCAAAGAGATTTAAAAAAAACTCTAGTCCCCCCCATCCCCCCAACCCCAAGTTTGCTGCCCAGATCCTACAGTAGCAGTCCATTCTGGTCCCCTTTGCATCCAGCACAATTTCATTTTAGCGTCTTGTAGCTACCGGTATTAGGCTAGAAAAAGAACGTGGGCTGTTGAGAATGGCAGGCCGATCAATGTATCGCTTTGGAAAAATGAAAGCAAAATTCCCAACACCGAAAGCTTATAATTGGGAGTGTTAGCTGTACTCACCGATTTGTCTGGATTGCTCGTAGGTGGCCTTGGAATGCTTGTACAATCGGGAGAAACGGATGGGAATTGACTTGGTCCACGATCACGTGGAAAGGAATCTCATACAGGTATTGTAAAATGATTTGTAAGCAATTGCCAAAAGGTAGCATTTAAATGGTGAGTTTTTGTTTTCCTGTTCTTCCTGTCCTTGGGGTTTGCTCATGGAAAGATAAGCTGACCGGAAATCATTCAGAGCAAGAGCAAATATTCTGTCAGCTTGTTTGAAGACATCTGGTTGCATGCCAGGAAGAGGATTTTTTTTTTTTCATTTTCTGAGTGCAGGAACTTTTCATATAAAGAAAGTTGCACTAATGTAAGATTAGTCCAGTGGGATGACTGTGGGAAAGACCTTGGGAGACGGGGCGAAGAGAGGCTGCCTAGGGAATGGTCCGAGAAGAGGCAGCAGAGTCCACAGCTGGAAAGCGGGCAGGGCGAGAGGCTCAGGAGGGATCCTGCCTAGTTTCTCAGGCTGCGAGGGAGATGGCGGGAGAATTGTACTTTCAGACTTGCAAAATTCTGTTAGTGTAGCTTTGCGAATAAAGTAGAATGAGCTTGGTGGTGTTTCCTGTCTGGTCTACTTAAGGCTGACGACTTGTTTAAAATTCACCAATTTCAAGAGGGCGAGGATTAGCCTGCAGCTAGTTTCCCACATTTAGGCTGTGGTGAACTTCAGCTCCCATCATTCCCAGCCACTGAGACTTACTGAAAGATAATAACTCACAGCAATTCTATATATGTTTCCATTTAGCTCTGTGTCTGCTATGTTCAGTAATATCTGTAACGCATGATGAAACTTTTGTCTCAGTTCAGAGTTCAACAAATAACTCTTGAGGCTCCTGGTGTGTTTTGGTGCAGATATCTCAATCTGGAGTCTCCCTTGAAACATCTGATAAGGTCCACGTTAATTTAAGATCCCTGCTGATAAAAATGAATGAGAATCACAATTCCCAGCATGCAATTGGATATAAATGTAACACAAGGATCTTTTTGCATTTTAAATAAACCAGATGTTCTTCCCATGTCTGCATATGTCCTGGAGGAAGGCCAGGACAAACCTCTCCGGAGCTGCTGCTAAAATTACACGGATGTCTCCGTCATGTCACCAAGGCCTTTAATTCTCTGTTATCGTTTATTTCCCTTTGCTGGGCCTTCGCAAGGACAGAGCCCTCTGCAAAGTGCCTTTCCCTCGACTTTTGTAGAATCTCTGACCAGTGTGTGTTTTGTATTCTAGGAGGTTGATTTGATCAGGGCGTGCCAAGAGAAGATGAGAAAGCTTGCAGAAAGAATCGACCAGCAGATTAAGTAAGCTTTGAAGCAAGTGAGCTGCTATTTAAAGGGGGATGATGAGTTGGTCTGATTGATTGATTGATGCTGGGGATGATGCAAGAGCTGCAGCTGTTCAAGGTCTTTAGGAGGGGCGGGCCTTCAGCAAACAGCAGGCGCCTCATTGGGCGGCTCTCCGTAGCAAGAACTGTCCAACTGGAGGGTGCCCAGATGGCAAAGCAGAAGTGAAGGCAAGAAGTGAAAGAAAGGGCAGCAGCTAAAGGAGCAAGATTGTTGGGCCTCTTATTCCTTGACCACCATCACCCACCCACATATTTTACTTTGAATGTCACAGTAGGCAGAAATTCAACAGGTAGTGCTAGCCGAACTCCTTTGTCTTTTGTCTGACCGAAAGGAATGTGTTATAATCAGGAACTCAGTAAACACACTTACAGTCTTGTAAAAGTGACAAAAGTATAGGATAACATTCATGAATTATTATTTTTTTTACAGTTTGGGAATGTAGAGAATTTTTTTGCACCTTTTTAATGGGTGTTCCGTGACACCTTTAAATAATATTGGGAGAGAAAATAAGGTAACCACATAAATCTTTGTCCCAGCCTTAACAGAGATGCTCAGCATGCGCTGGAGAGGGATCTCGGTGATAAAAGTTCAGCTCATTTTATTGATGAGAAATGCTATAATTTGAGGAATACTTCGGACAGCATCAACTACTACCATGGAATTGAGAAAATCGATGGGACGTAAGTACAGGACTATTCCCTCGTGGTCATTTAGGTAGGAGCTAAATGAATGCGAGTATAAGGAAAAGCCGATCTCTTGAAGTTTGTCAGTGCAGTTTCATTGATAATTGGACCCACTGGATCAGCGACATCATTGAGTGCTTTGCCTTACAGAAAAAAATAAGGGGAAAAAAACCTTAAAACATTTTTCCTAGACTGAAATCATATTAAAGGATTTGACACCAACCTTAGATTGGTCCTCAACAATTTTAACTGTTCTTATGTTATCCCAAAGGTGCTTTCTCACAGGGCAACTGGACTATGGCCTGGGTGACTGAGAATCTCCGTAGGCACGGTTCTTATGTTCCACATTAGAGAGGTCCTGTTCTCCGTTGTGTACACGGAGCTGCACACACTCACTAGTTGTCTCTGTTTTTTCCTCTGAGACGTTTTTCACCATTCCACATGCAGCAAGAAGAGAAATGACCGCTCTGCCTTTAATGGAACACTGTATATGCCGTACTGATCCTTCCCGTTATTAGCACCGTGCTATAACTTTGACCAGGTCCCCTGTAACTTGAAGTAATAGATTCCTTTCATTATCCAAAGCGACTCTGGTTCTTATCTTGCAGAGTCTCAGTCCCTGAAACGTGGGCAAAGTTTAGTGATGACAACATCCGGTATTCCCAGAATGCCCGAGCCAACTCAGCCATACTCTGCGAGGAAGCGAACCACACCCTGGAAGTCACTTCGGATGATATGTGGAAACAGTGGACCGACAGCAACTTGGTCTTTACCTCTCGCATATCAGAAATTGCAGATGCCAAGAACCAGCTGCAAGCACAGCTGGCGAAGGTAGGGCAGTGTGGGCAGCATCCGACTTGCTCTGGGCTGGCAGAATCTCATTCATATATTTATGTCCAGAAAAACTGTCGGAGTCTCTAGAGCAGGGCTCTCCAACCTTGGCAACTTTATGACTGGTGGGCTGTGGATTGCTGGCTGAGGAATTCTGGGAGTTGAAGTGCACAAGTGGTAAAGCTGCCACGGTTGGCGAACCTGCTCTAGATAATAACAGAATAAGAGAGTTGGAAGGGACCTTGGAGGTCATCTACTCCAACCCCCTGCTCAAGCTGGAGACCCTGTACCAAGACTCGTCTCTAAACATTCCGCTGCTGGAAATAGCAAACTGAAACAACATGTCCCTTAGGACAGGTAGTCCTCATCTTAACGACCACATTTGGGACCGGAATTTCTGTTGCTAAGCGGTTCACAGCCTCTACTTCAGTGACTGTCTGATGGGACACTGTACAGAATGGTTGTTGAGGGCAAACGTGGAGGAGGCTGTCGGAGTAGGCAAGTCAGGAACTCCCTGTTTCGTGAAGTGTGCTGACCTTCTGTGCTTTTTCGCTGGGGAAGAAGTCAAGAGCGCCATCGGTCCGCTCTGCCCACACTGCATTGTGATGTCACCAAACCGGAGACAATCCAGCAGCGCGAGAGAGGAAGGCTTTGTGGGGAAACGAATGGTGAGCCTCACAAAAGCGCTGGGCAACGTGGGCAGGCAGGCTTGGCATGAATAAGTTTCTTGTTCCAGTCTCTTGCACGGCAGGAGAACAGTCACAAGCATGGAGATGAATTATTGCTTTCAGCAAAACCTTTGTCAGTTTCTCCCCCAATAACTTCTATAATAAACCTAGGCCTGTTTGAATTCAGATTAAACCAGTATAGTTCGACAGAGCAGGAACACACGTTTTTTACATCGCTTCTGTGTCACATTAAAGAGAGGCTGAAATGTCTTAAGACATGATGTCTTCCATAGACTGAGTCCCTGGTGTTTCGTGGGACAAGAGATGAAAGCAACCTTAATCCTATAAAAAAGGAACGTGTGGCCCTCTTCCTTTGCGCATGGTGGAGCCAGAAGGGAACTTAACTGAATAGCTAAGAATGCCAGTGAGCTAATTTGTGTTTATTTTCTGGAACAGGAGGGTATCTTTTGAAGAGCTGTAGAAATTAATCTACAGCCACTTCTGAACTTTTTTTTGGTGCACTGATTTCTGATCCTTCAAATACAGCTCTTCAGTGATGCAGAGTTGTTGACATCACCTGCTAATAAGATTACACCCTTTTAAATGATGTCAATTATTTTGCATTGTGAATTTTATATGTAGTCATTAGGTGTAGTTAAGATCACATTGCTGTTAGGCAGGAAGGCTGACCAGGTTGCAAATACACATCCACTCCCTTCCTGCTTTCCCTTAATTCTGTTTTTTAAAAGAAAGCAGCAGGATATGACTTCAAATCATACCTATCACAACACTTTCTGCTGAGGTTTAAAAGTGGCTGAATGTTTGGTTTGGATTCAGAGCTCACATTTCAGATGCTGATGGGGAAGAGAATTGTCAACTGCTTGTCAGTTATTCCCTATGAAATTCAGCGGGAATGTTTTCCCCCCCAAAGAGAAGGAAACCAAGCAGAACAAGAAGAAGTAAAGAAATAAACAAGCCAGGCTGGATCTGGCTTTGTGCTTGGTCCTCTTCCTAGGCTGAGGCTTAAGGATGGGAGCAACCCTCCCAATGCTCCCCCCCCCTGCCTCCTCCCTTGGCACACCCGCCCTCTTTGCATCCCCGCTAGAGGAGATTGGATTTCTCCTTCAGACAGGCTTAGTTTTTCTTAGGTGTCTCGGCTTAGGAGGAAATGTTGGGACTCCTGGCCCACCCTTGCTGAGTATGCTTATTGTTCTGAGATCCGACTGTGGGAAAGTTAGAAGCTCATCCTTTTTAATGACTCATGAAACACCCAAAAGAAGAGAACCAGATATTCGTGTCACCACTTGGTTCAAGCCCTCCCCGGGGAGGGGCTGTGCTGGAAGAGGGGGCAGGACTGCAGTCTTTGATGCCTTCTGGGTGATGACCATGTTCTTTTGTGCCAGTTTGGGGCTGGTGTTAATTTATAGAGAGGCAACGTATCTCATTATTCTTGAAAAAAAGTTCTTCATCTTAGTTTAGGCCCTGGCAGTAAAGGCCCTGGCTGTCCAAGCAGGCTGGGGGCGAAGCAAAGCACAGAAACATGGAGGACCTTGACCATCTTATAGGCACTTCCTGTATTCCAGCTGCTACAAATCCGTGAAAGAATCTTGAAACTCAGCCACAAAGTTGTTTACATACTAAGTTTATTTTGCTGGACGTATGCACAGATATTTCGGCCACGTTACTCACTTTAACTGAGAGAGATCAAAATGTACTCATCCAGGTTTATTCTCAGCCCGGCTCCACAACAGCAAGTGTAGTGCTAAATTTTCCAGACCAATTAGCACAATATTTTTGGCCTGCTTGCCTTACTCGGAGGTTTGACTATTTTGCCTGGGGCCATAGGAAAAAAAACTAAAAAGGGACCTGAACAAAAACTAAATGGATTTTAATTAAAATCAGTGTTGATCAATTAATCACAATGAATGCTCCGTGTGCATTTAATTATTTTCTCCTTCTGGCAAGTTAAAAATTGCAGTTCAGTATCACACGTTCAGGGTCTCCAGGGGTTGTCTTCCCAGGTTTTAAGTTATGTATTCCCTGATTAATAAATGAATTTTTTTTAAAAAGAGGAAAAGTTGCCTTTGAGTGAAGCCTGAGCCCTAGCCACTCCCTGGGTGTGGGCGTTTTGGGATGTAGTTTCCAGGTAGTTTTTGTGGAAACAATGTGGAAATGCAAAAAGTTTTTGCTGACCCACAGCTGGCCTGAAAGCCAGGATCATCCTCATCAGAATGGGCCAGATCCTGGGCCCAGAATTCTTCAACAGCCTCTTGTGTGATGAACTGCAGGAAGGGTTGAGCAGATAATGCGAAACTGGACAGAATAGCTAATACTTTAAAAAAAAAAAGCAGTTGCTTAGAGCAGTCTTTGTCAACCTCGGCTACTTTAAGATACATGGACTTTGACTCCCAGAATTCCCCGGCCAATAATAGAAGCCATTCAGAGTTCATTATTTGTGAAAGAGAAATCAGATGCATAGGTACGGGGTGCAGAATACCATTTGGATATGTGTAGGAAAGACATTTTGTAATTGATCACAAGCTGAAAATAAGTCAGTAGCTATTATGAAGTCAAATATAAAGTCAAAGTCAAAGATCTGAAGCTGCATCCACAGTCATACAGCTGGGAGCTAATAGGTTTGGCCAGCGCTCGCTCTGTTTCCAGCTCCACCTTTTAAGGAAGGTTGGGTGAAACTAAAATGGGTGGAATTCTGGGATTTCGGATAATTCCAATTTGCAGATGACAATATCCCAGAGGGTTTTCCCATTCTGGCGTGCAGCGTTTCCATTCTTTGCACGAGAGGATTGGGAAGCTGGCAGGCATTTTTCTTTTCAAAACGCTCACGGATCTTTACTTCCCCTTTCAGACTCTTCAAGAAATCTTCCAGACAGAGAACACCATCATGTTACTGGAAAGAGCCATCATGGCCAAGGAGTGTCCGTTGAAGGTGGCCCAGACCCGTCTGGAAGCGAGGACCCGGCGGCCAAACATGGAGCTGTGCCGGGACGTCCCCCAGTTCAAGTGAGTGCTGCAGTGCTTGCCACCCTGCATCCTTTGGCGGTGGCCCCCTCAGCCCTGACAGAGGCTGCTGCTTTAAAGGAGGCCAGCGGGGGCCCTCCCCCAGCCCTGCCTGGGTCGCCTCTCCGGCTCAGGCGGTTTTCACGTCTTCTGAAGCCGGCTTTGGGCCCTGCCGGCTGGTGCTCCTGGTCCCTTTCCGCCTCTGGGCTTTGGTTCTGGGCGTCCCAGGCTGAGGGCGAGCCAGGCTTCCCTGTGACGGGGGGGGGGGGATTAAATGCAGGATTTAGGCAGAGGCAGCCGGCAGGGGGCTCTGCTACTTCTAACAGAGCAGAAAGGGGAAGGAATCCGCCAGCCTTCCAAGTCAACTCAAGGCTTCTCTTTATTGCTGTTAGTCCTGGCTAATTTGTGAATCTCTTTTGAAGCACCTAGAACCGATCACATTAAGAAAGAAGCAAAAGACAAGCAGGTCTCTGTGTGCTTCGTGCCCAGAGCCGGTGGCTTCCCACGCTGCTGTCCCAGGACCCGGCAGCTTCCCAGGGAGGCCCAGCAGCCGTAACCCCTTCCTTTCCCTTCCCTTCCAGGCTGGTGAACGAAGTGTTCACAATCGACGACACCCTCCAGACCCTGAAGTTGCGCTTGCGTGAAGCCCAGGATACTCTCCAGCTGCTGATCCTGAACAAGTCGAAACTGGAGCACGACCTGATGGTGAAGGCCAACAGCCTGTTCATCGACAAGGAGAAGTGCATGGGGATGCGGAAAACCTTCCCCAGCACGCCTCGCCTGGTCGGCTACACCTGAGGCTGCAACAGCCGCCTTTCATGCTCCTATCAATCTGACATAAAAGGTTGAAAATCATGGGAGACATTTCTGCGCGTTTATTTTTTTGTAGCAAATGGAAGAAGGAGAAAGAAAAATTTAAAAATCCCGTGAAAATAAACGTAATGTAACAAAAACAAAATCGGAACAAGGTCACCGCTTTTCTTGCCTGCAGAAAGTGTGAGAAGGACCGCTTCCTATGGAAGGAAGGCAGTTGGCTGGGCGCTCTGGAGACGTCCCAAGAGGGCCAACCGTAGAGCAGAGATGAGCCAAATCCAGAGGAGGGTCTGGTCCTGGCCCTCGCCCCCTCAGAGTTATTCTCCCCCCCCCGTTTAGCCCCAAGGAGGCCCCAGAGCTGAGTCCACCGACTGAACCTGGAGATCTGGCAGCCTGTGTGGTGAGAGGATGCGACACTGTACAAATGTGTCCTTAGACTAGGCACAGAGTGGACAATCCACCTGCAAGGATAGGCTTTCCTGCTGATCTGCTTGGGCCAGGAGAATCTAGCCTGCCGAAGGGCAAAGTGTTGTATGTGTGAATGCACTACGTACGTAAGTAGCTAACATTCATCCTAATTATTCTACCGGTGTGAAGTTGATCTATGTGTCTGCCGTAAAAAGGACAGAAAATGGTCTGATTCAAGGATCTTGCCATGTTTGCAAAAGGGAGAATATAATGCACATCGTAGAAAATAACTTGTCCTCCCCCAGCTCTGCTTTTTATAGATTACGGTTTACAGGGTAGGCAGCGAAGGGTACAAACAACTAAGCCATGATGATCATGCTGGCCTTTGCTCCCAGGGAATGAATGCGTGATCGAATGTCCTTTCCTCCCCTTCCAGTTCAAAAGAGTTCCACCGCCCAAGCTCCTGCTCCAAGCCCCTCCATAACTTTCCTTCCACTTCTAAAACATTCAGATTTCTGGAGAAGGATGTGTAGTCGGCATCCTTTCGCGTTCTGACCCTGCCTGTTCCTCAGGAATGCAGAGACCAGAAGGCAATCCATCCGAAGGAAAAGGGCCCCGTGTGAAGTCAGCTTCCTGCCTTCCCCCCTGCACAGGACGGTTGCAAGAGACCTTGGCAGGCTGGGCCAGCGGTAGAGAATTCTTTCAGACAATGGACGTTGAGCTCAGCTTTGGGAGAATGTCTCGCTGGGAAAGGGATGAGCCCAGAGAGGTTGTTCTGACTGTTTTCTGAGAGAGAATCGGCATCCCACCCCCACCCCGGAAGCCTCAGGCCAGCCTGGCGAGAGAGCAGGAATGGTTTGTTCCTGTAGCTCAAAGGCCAGATCTCTGGGCATCTGGGTTTTCTGAATGAAGAGGGAAGCTGATGCAAGTGCTGTTGCGGTGTGCGTCTCATTCTCCCCCCAACACTGGCACAGGGAGAGTACCAACTGAGTTGTTATACTCTGAACCACCTAGCTGGTAATGGTTACAGTTTTATTTATCACTAAAATCATATCTCCTTCTCGTAATTATAAGCTGTGTTGATTGAGTTTAGCAAAGGCATGCATATGGATGGGTTTAATTACCTTTATAACCAGGGGATATCTACATTTAATTACAGGTAACTTGTGGGGCCTGGATATTAAAGAGCTCCTCAGCACTTCTGTTTGCTGCAGCTAATCCTTTGACCCATCTGGATTTACCTAAACGGCACCGTTGTGATTTAATTTTCTTATTTTCCTTCAAAATGCGGCTTCTTCCATAATCCAGCCACATTCTGCTCCCCCCCCCTTTGCAATGTCATGCTCGAGTAGAAAACCAAGTGGCATTTTGTTCCGTCCTCTGGGTTGTGCTCAACGCGTTGCCACTTAGCTGCGCTTCTGGGTTTCCTTCCTTGAGTTTCCCTGCTGGTATTCAAGAGGAGGTAGAGGATTATGGGTTGGGTGGCATCCCTGGGGGGGGGCAGATGCAAGGCTAGGTGGTTGGGCTCTGTTCTCCGTTATTGAGAAAGCAAATTGGCTTCCAATTAATAACTCCAGATCCTTCTAGGATCCAGATGTAGCAAATTGTGCAAAGACCTTTTCTTGCTTTTGAGAATGTTTCCAACCCAGAGACCTCTACTTGTAAGCAGGCCCTTCCTCCTGCGTCCGGCCACCTAAACCTAGAGATTCTTCCACACCGTGTGTCCCCATAGCCGCTTAGGGCTGGGGCAAGGAAGAGGGGAAAGGAGGGACAAGCGAGGTGGGTGGAGAGACTTTGCCAGGGCTGCGAAATGTCATCGGGCGTCCAGCGGCCTGGCCGTTTGGACAATGCAGATCTCTGGCCATTGCCTGTGCCAGTGGCCAAGTATGCAGAGAAGTATTGCTGGTGGGCATGTTCAGAGAAGAATGGGCGCCTGTTCTGAGGGAAAGGGTCCAGCTCCTCCCTCCAACCTAAACAAGAGGGCTTGCTTGAGCTTTTGAAAAGCCCGAAGGGTTGGGAAAGCCTCAGTTATTGGCTGCAGTCTGGAGGGAGCAGATTGTGCCCAGGATGTTCTAAGATCCCTCCCTTGGCTGTTCCAATCCGCCTTTTCCCCACCTTCGGCTTCCGTTCTTTCCCCCCTCCTCTCTTCCCTCAAAGTGCACATCCAGAAGTTAACCATCTGATTGTGATGCACGTTTTCTGCCCTGTTCAGCGATCCAGCTGGCAGAATAGCCGTGCGATTTCCCACCGGCACGGCCTGTTGGCCACACCAACTGGAAGTGGTATGATGGACGTTGAGGCACAAATTTGGGGAAGGGAGGTACAGTTACCTAAAACTCCTCTGTCGCACCGTACAAGTCCCTTGGGGACCTTGAATAAGGTGATGCTTGGAGATTCACCAGGCAGGTGATAGGTGGCTAAGCGATAGAATTCTCCCTCTGACAAGGACATCTTTAAAGAGGAGGAGATGAATTCCTGGGTGATATGTGGTGACAGCTAATCGTGCACCCTTTTTGTTATTTTTAATATCTCAAGCACTACAGTGGCTCACGAGAATTTTCTCAGAGGGAAAAGATTTTCAACATATCTGTCAGAAAGCAAATCCCCTCAACACAAAAGGACTAACCTTTGAGTATACACCCTTTCTGTTAGTTTCATTTTCTTATTCACAACCTCCTCCAAGGACAGTTTCCTTCTTAGCATTTGAATTGCAGGCTAATTCTACCAACTGCCAAGAGTACGATCCTGACCGGCTCAAGGTTGACTCAGTTTTCCATCCTTCCAAGGTCAGTAAAAGGAGGTTCCAGATTGTTGGGGGCAAATATGCTGACTCTATAACTTAGAGAGACTTAGGGACTCTACTGCTTAGAGAGTGCTGTAGAGCACTATGAAGCAGTATATAAGTCTATTGCTATTGTTATTCTCTTGGGGGGACGTTGATCCCACCCTTTGCTGGGCCCAGGATCCCTGCAGGTGCTCTTGGGTGACAAGGACAGGGGTCTTCCCCAGGAAGCAGCAGGCCCCCTCACCTGGTGTCCAGGTGCTCCCTAGAACAGGATGAGAAGGGAGGCCACACAGAATCCCAGGGCAGGGGAAGATGGGAAAGTTGAAAAAACACTTTTGGGAAGGAGGCAATAGGACAACAATCGCTCTACTGTTGTTGAGAAGATTGTCTCCATGTGAATTGCAGTGCGTTGAGCTCTCAGCCGGAGGACATTCTTATTACAGCATTATGTCCAATGTCTCCCGGGGGGGGGGTTGGGGGTTGGAAAGTGCCCTTCCCATGGCCAGGGAAGTCCCTTTTCTAGGAACCAGGGCTGCATCTCTGCCTTTATTATATTCCCCAAATGTTTAGGCATTGCCCCATACTTTAATGCTGTTTATTACTTTTTGCTGGCCCTTGTTGAATGGGTCAGTGGCTGGTCTTTCATCTTGGGGTTTCATTAAACACTTTAATTGTGGTCTCAGCTGCTTCGCAACTTTCATCTGTGCAATGAAATGGGGAGCCCAAACACTTACCGTACCTAAATAAGCGTTTACCTTTTGTTTACCATGCTGGCGTAAGAGACTTTTTTTTTTTAATTGAAGAAGCTGGCAAGCTTAGGGAACAAACTCAAAAAGGCAAGTTAATTATACACGCCCCAAAATGCTGCGAGCAGCATAGCTTTCCTTTTTAAAAGTAGAGACCAAAATATTCCGGTGTGTGCTTGGTGAACTATGGCAAAAGTGACAGCTGCCGTGAAAATATGAATAATAAGAGCTTGGGATCAGCACTTAGGGAGATCAGGATGACCTTGATTTATTTTTGATGCCTCCCTCTTCAGTAACACAAGAACGATGAGTTCACTTTTAATAAATGGGGCCCTTCCTCCCGGGGCGGGGGAGGGTGACAAGATCTGGCTTGGAATGCAGAAATGGCCCCTTTTTGTTCACCCCGGAGATTTTGAAATAGCCCTGCGCTGCGTACCCCCCTTCCCGGTCTGCTACCTGTAATGAGGAGATGAGTAACCATTCCAGGAACTGGCAGAGGTGCCCTTGAGTCGGTTCTGTGGCAGGAATCTCCTTAATGAGAAGAGAAAGTTTCACCAACTCCTCCGTGGTTTGCCTGGAAGGAAGGGTGGAGCCAGCTTGGGAAGGTGAGGCAAATTCTTTCTCCACCTCCCTAATTTTGTTCAAAAGAAGAAGAAACAATAAAGGGGATCGCTGTAGCAGAGCAAGCATATTCAGTGGCCTGATTCTTAATGGTTAATTAAGAACTGTCTCTGTTCCCAGTTGATGAGAGTTTTGGGTTGATGCTTCCTGAAAGTTAAAAGAAAATAGAAGACTTCAAAAACAATCCAGGTCTTCTGTGTGGAAAGCTGGACATATTGGGAGGATCTTTATATGGCCCCTCCCTCCCCCAAATATTCCAATGGGGTTAGAAAATAACTGTTTCTCTACTGCTTCACAATGCAAGTCTGCATGGTTGGTTTTACAGTTAATGCAAACCGGTAGCCGTTCTGGTGGGTGGAGGACTATTTCCCAAGGCAAAATCCTTAGCCTGCAGGCCAGTGAGTCCACTAGGGAGAAAAACATTG